TTAAGTACTGTGGATTGATCTCAGGCCCTTCACACTGAGCTACATCCCCAACTTCCCCTAACCCCTTTTACAATTTTGAGATGGACTTGGTAAGCTGCAAAATTGCCCAGGCAGGGTTTCAACTCGTGATACTCCTACCTCAGCCTCCCAGAGTGCTGTGTTTACAAGCATGTGCCACCACAACCAGCTATAGTTGTCTGAGATTACCTCCAACTTCTTCATTCAGAGCTATCATTTGAGAGCCTTAAAATTTCTAGGCCTACCAATTTCAGTTTAGTAGTCCTGGGATAGCCAGGTATCATGCCAGCCTCCCCACAGGACTGGGGATCAAACCCAGGGTGTTCTTTCAGCTACATCCCCAGCACTATTTTTTAAAAATTTGAGATAGGATCTTGCTAAACTGCCTTAAACTTGCAATCTTTGTCTCCCCCTCCTGAACAGCTGGGATTACAGGTGTGAACCACCTCAACCAGCTAGAAATCAGGTTGTAATGTGTTCTCTCCCTATGGCCATGCCAAAGTACAGAGCACCATTACAAGAGAGCAGTTAGGAAAAACCACTGTGGCATGACTCTACCTTTGGAGTTCACCTGCTTTTCTTAGTAAAATTTGCTATTTTACACAGCATGATTAACATATGCACCTACACATTAACCCGGCACAAAAGGCATACACTTATCTAGTAAGTTGTTTTGCAGAACCTGGTTACTGGACTGAACTGAGCATCTGGAAACTCAAGATGGGGCTGCGTCACAATCTCCCACTTACTGGTCCAGGGGCTGATGGTCATTCCTCACTTAGCCACTACAAAGAGCCTTCTTGACCCTCTGTGGGTACAGCGGACCATCCTGTACTGGGACTCACTCAAATGTTCCTCAGTTCCCACAGGACTACCCAGATACCTGGCCCTTGCCAGGCTCGTGAGCACCTCCCAACCTTGCCCTTGCACTGCCACCTCCATGAAGCACGGTTCAGCCTGTCCAGCTCCTACATGTCTCTCACTCCTGACTCAGAAGGACACAAATTCTCTAACCACTGAGAACTGAATGGTGTAGTCTCTGGCTAAGTCATCTCAAACTTGCTATACCCTTCCTTCTCAGATTTACTTCTCCACACCTGAACCAGGAGTGGAGAGAAAGAATGTAAAAATAAGAACTGGTTCTTGCATGTGTCCCCTAGCCGTGAAAATAACACAGCTTACTTTTCCTCCTACTCTAGACATACAACCTCAGCAGGCCACAGCCCAATCTAGAGATATGGCTGTCATTTTAACCTACCAAATTTTGGAGTGGTTTGTTTTGCGGCAACAGAAACCAAAAGCCCAACCTATTTAATACATTTCTGAGGACAGCACTGTGTACAAAGAATGTATAATCAACAAGTACTGTACTAAAAAAATTTATTGAGCATGTATGGTACTGAAGCCAGTGTATTAAGGACAGGAGTTGTGACGGTGTTTCACCTGGGCATAACTCATGGAACACATTTATCACAACCATGAATTCTACCAAGAAATGCAGAATGATCAGTGAATTAAACACTGTGACGTCAATACGTACAGAAACTAAGTATAGCCACGAAAGAGTAAAGCTCCCAGACAAAGACCCAGGCACACAGGCGGTGGTTACACTTAAGTAACAAGAATGTTATTACTGACAGCAGAGAAATAACAAACTAGTGATAGTGGAATAAACTTTTCTTACGGCAAAAGGTGAAACTGGATTCCTACCTCAGGTTTACACACACATATACAATCAAAATTCCAGCTGGATTTAAAATACCATCTACACTTCTTAAACGAGACCAAGACTCAAATCATAAAGAGATTGGTAAGTTTTACTACATATTAAAAACTATAAAAGATACTACCATAAATAAAGCTGACAATTGGTAGGTTGAGAGAAAATATCTGTAATATATAACGAAGGACTAAAACTCAGAAGATAAATTATCAATAAAAAAAAGGTAATCCAGTACAAAAATGGGAAACATACATGCAAAAGGCAGTTCACAGAAGAAAAAACATCTGTATCAAGCTCTTTGTCCACTACATTAAGAACATACTATGAAGTCTCACCTATCTGTAGCATTTTGCATGTGCTGGCATCACCACTTCTTATAAGTCAGTCAATTTTTTTTTTTTTTTTTGGTGAGATGTGACTTGTTTATGATCTGAAAACCACAGCAACATCATCAACTCTGATGGAGACATGGTAACACAGGCATTGCCATTTTATGAAAGAATTAAGAATCTTGACCCAGGGATATTTTTGTAGTACTTCTGGGCTGATGGTTTCCATGAACACCTGATTATAATGCTCACTCTGTACACCTTAACAAACAAGGAGTAAAATCCTTAGGTTGTAGTCAATTTACATGTGGGCATGGGAACCCTTTACAACTCAGTGTGGACACACCCATGTATTTTTCTCAAGCACACGGATGGAAATGGACAAAAAAAATCATTTAAAAAAGAGAGACATTCTTGAAGAAAATTTTAATTAAAAAAATCAAAAGAAAAACCGAACAGTGCCTAAATCTTTATTTTTCATAACCTACATTTTTTTCAAATTAGACAGTTTTACACTGAATGACACAAAAGGAAACTTAAATTACCAATAGTTTACATGTAAGCTTGATTCCAGTCTTAATGAAAACAAAAACAAAACCCCTCAAAAACGCTTCCATATTACACTCCTACTCTGTGACTTGGCAGCGGCTAGTGCTCCTCAAATCTTCGATTGTCTGCTGCTTTCCGTGTAACAGGCTACAGAGCACACAAAACCCACTACAGCTCAATGAAGGGGACACGAAGACAGGTATGCACCACTAGTCAACTGCTGTGATACACTGAACCAGTTTTAAAATGTAAACTGCAGAAATCCTGACTAATACAGCAATGTAAGACTTTTTTTTTTTTTTTTTTTTTTGGCCACCCAGTAGTGGCAACCAGTGATGCAGTGACAGGAGGGACTGATCAGACACATCATGACACCAACTCTTAGAGAGCAACTACTCAAATTCATGTCTGGTGACATGGGCCAGATTCTTATTCCTATATTTCCAAATAAGTATTATCACACAATTTTACAAGTTAAAAATGTCACTTGTGACTGCTGTATCTCTAAACTGATAAATTGAGATACTGCTGAAAGGAAGGAATGAGTAGACTTTCTTTTTAAAAAAAAGTAGGAAAGCCACACGTCATTAGCTATATGTGACACAGCAACAGTCTGCATGCGCCCTCACAGCTTCCTATTGTGATAACTCCCATTTTTTTCTGAGTGGAAAATCTCAAAGTAATTAATAATTTTTTTGTTGGTTTTGACATTGCCTATAGCATTCTGGCATATCATCTTTGCTTAATTAAAAAGAGTGCTTTAAAAACCACATCTGAGCAAGGTTTCAGCTCTTGCTGGCAGACTGTCACTAGCTAAGCAGTAACTACAGTGTATTGACCTTGTCCAGATGGCAGCAGGGCCCCAGAACAGCACCTCCCATGATGACTGGTACTCCACGTGCCCACCTGCTCTCTTGTGTGCAGCTGCTGAGCTTGACACTTTTGGTCAACAAAGTGAGCATCTACAGCTGGCTCTAACCGCACACACCTCACCTACAATGCTCTCACCTTAGGGAAAGGATTGTTTGTTATTAAAAACCAAGGATTCACCTTGTGGCACTGTGACTTGGAGATGAGAAAGGCTGATAGTGCCCTGGCCCCTCCTCTAGCAGAAATGTGCCCTGAAGGACCCTGGGTCTCAGAGCTTGCCCTTCCAGCTTTTACAGTATCTGTGAGTTTAAGAAATCAATTACTTCTTATTTCTCAATCTGACAATTATAAAGAAATTAATTCCCATGCTCTTTTAAGAGGCATTCAAACCATATTAGCATTATGTAAATTTTTGTATATTTGAATATGATAACTGCTCTAATGGAAATGGTCAAATATATCTGGCATGTATGATTTCCTCTGGCAGGTTAAATCACTTAGAGGCATGTGGCTTTAATTAGCAGATGATTTTTTTTTTTACTTTCACTTTAAGATCCTGCCAGTTTCTGCTTTTTGTATAATGCTTCAAAACCCTTTCACATTAGGTATGATTAGTACATATTTATATGTTTTTTTAAAGTATGAAAACATCTAAAGGCTTTTAATAAGACTTTCCATTTCCCTTTTGCAGCAGAGGCAGAATCAGTTCAACATACCAGTATGAGAAAGAGAAAAAAAAAAAAAAACCTCAACAAATTAAAATATTCAAACCACAACATTTAGTTTATCTACATCCAGCTCAACAGCAACATTTATAATATATCAATAATTTTTATCAGATTTTTCTCTGTAGGGTACCTTTTAATATGTTCTGATTATTTACAAATGTACAGGCAAAGCACACTCCCAAGTGCACATATTTAATACAGTATTGACTATTTGCATTTACAGGATTTTTCAACAATCTGAAAAAAGATCAACTGTTGAAGATCTTTAAGTATATTACAAAAACTACTGCTAGTTCTTGCACTACAGTATGCTTACTCAGCAAAACTAACGTCAAGAGATCCACACGGTAACTGAGTAACTCTGATCCACTCCTGCCAACCCAGGGGCCAGTCTCCATGAGCTCTAAGCTGTCTTATACAAAAGTTAAGGCAAAGTCATTTTCAAGTTTAAATAAAATTCAAGTCTTTAAATATTGGATGGAAATAATTTTTTTAAAAAAAACCCTCAGTCTTGTTAAATAACATTTTGTGGAATAAACTATATGGTTATATTTAGCAGGAAATACTTTCATGTCTGCTACTTAGAATACTTAAAAAGAAAAATTTTAGGCATTTTAAAACAAAATAATTTATATGTAACTTTATTATAAACTTGCTAACTTTAGTGCATCCTTTTCTTCAGAAGCATAGCACTTCTAGAAGTGACTCAATGAGACCCTCGTCTTAGAGGTAAAAAGAGCAGGAATTTCTGTCCTCCACCAGCCAAAGAGGGAGAAAAACCACAAACACCATTCTCTTATGGCTGCATACTTTTCAATCCATGTGCTGATGCAGAGGTACAGGAAGACTCCACATGGAGCTGACTAAGATGTGGACTCTCTCTGAGAGTGACGGGATGGGGTAGGGGTGGGAGGACATGGGTAGAAATGTGCCAGAAGCAGGCACACTAGGGTGGGAGCCAGGTATCCTGCTTGCAGGGATTGAAATAACATTGTAACGTTGTAGTTTAACTTTGTGGTAAAATGTCAGTGGGCAACAAAGTTTATATTTTCATTTATGTTCTATTCACAATGTGCTTTGAATTTATTTTACATAATAGCCTCTTGAAACTGAAGTGAGAAGCTGGTTACTTGCTTGCAGTACATCAAAACTCAAAGGTATTTGATCTTCCTAGGATGCTCTCCACAGGTTCATTCTACCAGGATCAAAAAATGACCATTTATACAAAAGCCCTACTAAAGGCTTATATGAGAACATAGCTCTCATGCCAGTGTGTTGGTGCCCTGACACTGCCAGCCTCTTCCTCTACAAGGCTGAGGCTGCTCTGTCAGCACCATCAGCCTTCATCCAACTGTTGGGATAGCTGCAGATATGCACTTGCAGACCAGTTACTAAAAAAAAAAAAAAAAGATGTAGCATAGTTCCTTTAATTTAGAAAAACTATGTGTAGCTTGCATTCAGAGCCACATGGAGGCTTAATAAAAAATATCAATTTGTTAAGATAAATGCATTTTCTATCTGGAAAAAAAATCAGACTTATGCATCACCTCCAGTTAAGCACCAACCTAAAGTAAGGTTTATATTAATTAAATCCTGAAAAATAGATTTTTCTCAAGAGGGGGGACAATCTGACTTACAGAAAAATAACTTGCAGGCATCCCATGGGCCTCAAACACTGCAAGCTCCTAACCAGCGACTCATTCTTGTACTGAGTGGGAAGAGTTTTTCTGTGGTTAATACAGCTCTTCATGACCCTCCCAGGCATACAGTTTTCACTGAGGAGACTTTGGGGGAGTGTTCTGTTCTCTGATGAGACGCTTCCCAACAGCTGGGGGTGAGGGTCGGCGCCCAGGCTGCTTCCTCTGGTCTTTGGGGGCTCCAGGAGTGGACTTGAGGGTAGGGGGCTCCCTGTATCTCTCCACCGGCTCAGCAAGCTTCTTTTCCTCCTTCCCACAACTAAGAGTGTTTGGCTTTTGTTCCTTTTGTGGTTGCAATGGGGAGGAAGGAGGCTCTTTACTTGTTCTCTGACAAATCTCTGCATAGCTGGGCTTTCGTAATTCCTGAAAACAGATTAAAAGTGATTATATGCACAAGTGACATCTCCAGGGTTGACAAGGGAAATTAAGACAAAAATAAGTAAAGGTTCAATTCTAAGTAAATTTCCATCATCACAGGGGTTTTTACTTTTAAAAGTTCATAAAAATCAATGATTTGGCCTCTCTGCAATACAATTTTCCCACCAAAACTCTCTAGAAATAGTTTTTTTTTTTTTTTTTTTTTTTGGTCTTTCTCAGGCAGGGTCTTGCTATGTAGTTTAGGCTGGCCTTGAGCTCACTTTGTAGTTCAGGCTGGTCTCGAACTTGCGAAGATCCTCCTGCCTCAGCCTCCCAAGTGCTGGGATTACAAGCATGCGCCACCATGCCCAGCTAGAAATAGTTTTTTAAAATGGCTAAAGTTAGAAAAGATATAAGTGCCTTTAAGCATTCTTGGGCAACATGGAAGCCTAAGACACCCCACCATGATGCACCCAGAAAGACAAACACTGCTTTCTCTTGCTCTGCTTCCTTCAAAACAAAACAGTGCAAAGTGCTCACAAGGGGGAAAAAGCAACAAACTGCCATGCATTATTTCTAAAAAAATTCTCAAACTACAGAGGACTGGAAATGTGTGCTTAAAAATAGTGAAGACAAGATTTCAAAATGAAGTGTAACAGTGTTTCAGGTATATGGAGCTAAATAGCAAATAAGAATAAAATTTCAACAAAAGCCATTTGTAAACTTAGTAATTTTAAACTGTAAGACTATCTTAATTTAGACTCAACCCATTGGGCTAATGGCTAACTTCCCAAACCTTAACAATAACAGCTTACCCAACATCAAACTGAAGATGATACAAATCAGAGCCAGAGAAGTTAGATTCACCAAAGACAAAAACCACCAGACTCACTGAGATCACAACCCACTGGACTCACTCCTTTTTAGCTATTTTGCTTAGTTTTATGTTAATTGACAAGCTTAGAACAAATGCTCAACTGATGACAAATTCTATGGAAGAACAGAGGTTAGGATCTTAGGATCTTGTTACTAATCAAGAAATCATTATCTACTCACATTGAAATAGAGAGATTCCATTGTTGTGGTACAGCAAAATGACCAAAAGGAGTTGGTAGAAAATTATTAGCAAATATTCAGGGTGTTTTGCACAGAAAATACAATACACAGACAAGCCTCAGACCCCATCAAATTAGACTTGGATTAAAAGAGATTAGCTAATGCAAGGATAGCCCTGTGTCTTTTTACCACACCAGAGCCTCACTGACTGCTGCACAGAAAGGCAAGTGCAAGATCCTTACCGTGGTAGCTCCATTCACCTGCACCGATTTACATGTGGTTGAAGTAATGGCAGAAGGGAGTCTGTCGACACTATGGGTTTCCCTCTGTTTTTCTACCACCTTAGGGTCCCTGTAAAAATGCCACCCAGTATGAGAATCTTGTGCAACATTATAGGTCAAAGCTGTGAACAGCAGAGTGTTGGTAGAACATCAATACTCACTCGGGTACATGGGCTGGGGAAGGGGATCGTTCATATGTTGCTGATACAGCACAGGAAGCCGGCACTGAAGACTCTCTTGGAGCCACTGCAGAAATACTGTTCGTACTTGCATCTGCATTGAGGCTCTGAAAATCACCACAATGGTAATTTATTTATTGGTGCTGGGAACTGAACTCACTACCTTGCGCTTGCTAGGCAGGCGCTGTGCCACTGAGCTACATCCCCAGCCCCACAATAATAATTTATGACATGGTAAAGAAAGAAGCACTTGTCAAATCTTTGCCAAAGAAGGTAAGGGTCTAAACTAACAGAAGTACAGAAACCTCAAACAGATCTACAAAGCTATCGTGTTACCAGTTCAGACTGGAAAGTTCACTTGAGACTGAAGATGAGACAGTCATGGAAAAATGTCTGAACATGCCTTTATTCTCAGGTGCCACAGTCCTCAGGGCCCTGCCCACACATTCTCACGGAAGTCCTTAGCTGCTTAGTCTCCAGCCAGCCCTTGTGGCAGCATACATTTATACCAAAATACACAACAGTGGTCATGTGCCGGTCATGACCTGGGTTATGTTGTTATTTACACTGACACTAAGAGATGTGCCTGCACTGAAATCCTGCTGACTTGGACTTAATGTTCACTGGAATACCTCCCTCCCCCAAAGCAAAATATAGCCATCTTAGGGTTCATTTTTCCCTATAAGAGCCTGCTTCCCATCTTCTGGTAAAGACTCAGAAGGGTGGACTCTAACCAGTGCTGAATGGAACTATGTGTCCATCCTACTCCAGGAGAACGAGAACTGCAGTACCCCACTGAAAAGCTGCTAAGCCACAGCACAGGACATAGGAAAAGACAGTCTTCTCCAGCAAAAATGTAAAAAAAGACTCCAAGTATGTCCTTTGCCAACAGAGTCTTCACCCTTCTTTCTCTGAGCACTATAGAATTGGGCGTATGTTCCAGAGTCTTTCTTTTGTATTTCCATTGTAATTATATGTAAGCTTATTTTCTCAATGGACTAGCCAAACACATCTCATTCATCTGGAACTTCCCAGCTTGCCACATCCTGGCATGTAAGCAACACTCAAGTATCTACCAGATGTGGCATTCCTAACATAGTTCAGTATGACTCATTCTTGTAACCAAAGTAAGTAAATTGATACCTCTACAACTACATAAATTTGAGTACCTTGTAGTAGGTATTAATATGAGTTCTCACCTGAATTCACAAACAACCCTTGGAAGCAGGTGTGTTAATCCTTCCAATTTAACTAGTGAGGAAAGGAAGGAACAGAGTAGTCAAAAGAATTTGCCTTTGGTCACAAAGAAACAACTGAATCAATCCAGATCTTCATACTCCAGTCAGTGACTTCCTATGTCTAGTAACTATTTCACAAAGGTTTAATCTTATTCATGTTGTAAGTAATGCCATACTTACATAATTTCAGAAAGACAAGGGAGCAAATAAACAGTGGGTTTAATTGTAAATGACAATATTTTCTTAAAATGCCTTCTCGTTCAAAGTAGATTTTAAAAGTTCAGAAGTGAATAAAGTGATGAATTGGAACTAGAGGTCCGGAAGGGAATGGCACAATTTATAGTCTTATATTTTGTAGAAGTTAAGCACTGACTGTGAGCCCTTTCCAGCCTGAAAACCAGAATCTTTTATGACTACGCTCAAGCTGAGGGACACTAGCTTAGCAGAACTACGAAGAAGACAATACCCTTTTTTATAAAAGTGTGCAGATATTCAGGAATGTTTTGCCCTGATGCTTTTTTGTTTGGTACCGGGAATCAAACTCACGACCTTGTGCTTGCCAAGCAGGCGCTGTGCCACTGAGCTATATCCCCGGCCCCCTGATGCTACTTAAATACATATAACCTTACAGCACTGTGAGGAGTTTTAAGTGAGTGATCACAGACCTTACATCATTAAGGGTGCACTGGACTGCATCCCTTTGAAATCCTTCCCTACAGCTCTATAATCAAGTGTCCAGTAAAAAGCAGGTGCAGATGTGCCACTAAGTAGCTACAATGCAGATGAAGTAATAAGGTCATGGAATTAGGCTCAGGCTTTTTAAAAGTAGCCAATTCTTCCTTCAAGAGAAATTTTACACAGAAACTCAAAATGTACAAAGCAGTAACTACTATTTCTTAAGCCAGGGTAAAGCCTAACTCTTGTTTTACCATCACCAAGGGCATTAGGGCAAAACTTGAAAACCAGAATTCACGACTGTTCAAGTGCAGTAATGCGGTAACACTACACCACATGGTGGGAGCAACTCAGAAATTATTGCATGGAAATTTAAGACTTAAAATAATTTATAAGACATGCCAAATCTAATGTGTAACCATTAATAGGAAAAAAAAAAGGAAAAAAAAAAAAAACCAGCATCTTGCAATGCCCACAACCCTCAAGACTAAAAAAATAGGAGCAATTACTACCAACCAATATGAACAGGACTGAACACTTCACCTAACCTTAGTCTTAAAATACTGTGGCAAAATTCACCTAAAACTGCTCTAATAACAGAAATAATGTATTCACTACAGCAGTACTGAACTTAGGCTGTGAAACAGCACCTTTTCCCCAAATCCAGAGATAATGGAGATCCTGACTCCAAAGATCTGGGGACAGTAGAAAGGGTAGTTGTGGTTTATACTGGAAGAAGACATATGGATGATTCTCATGGATAGATACAGCTGAAAACTGCTGTACAGTACAATACAGTTGATTCCTCAGATGGTAATCACCACACTAAGAACATCCTCGGTGGTAACCCACAAAGTTCACAAAGTTCACTGAATTACAGCAAAGTGACTGCAGGCTTCTTGCTACTCATCTCATATAGATTACTAAAAATTATATTATTTCCAGTATAATTCACATTTTCTCTTTCATTCTGCTGTGAAATAAAGGAGATCTGAACAACAATGAAAACACAATCTAAGTGCCTTCATGAGAGTGTATCCAGAACATCATAGCGCAGACTCCACCTCTGACCTCAACACACAACAAGGGAACAGCCTGGCCCTGGCTTCAACACCGACCTTGCCACTGCATATCTGTGTGCCTCTTGCAAATTACTTGAATTCTCCAAGCCTCTTATAAGTATTCAAAGTCCCTGGTCAAAATAAGTGCTTAGTAAATGTCAGCAACTGTTAGAATTCTAATATAAATCTTACTCTTTCTTTTGACGGTCCTAGTATCAAGCTAGAAAGCCTGTTTTCAAACAAATCTTCTGTCTTCAAATTCCCTGCAGCCCCAGGTAATGGGGGGAAGCTGGACAGCCCCAGTTCGAAGCTTGGTGATGGAGGCTTTGGTGGCGTTGGAGACTGAGTCTGGCTGTTCTGCAACAAAATGAAACCCCATAAAGTCGAACAGGAGTGGAGAGACACAGCATGAATAAAGCAAAGAACCATCTGATTTCCACAGCAGCCTGAAAAACAGTCTGGAAATAAAGCCCCAATAACCCTGAGCTCCATCTGACTTGAAGGAGCTAACATCTCCCAGAATCTCTGCTGAAAGCATTATTCCCTACGTGAGAAGATTCTAGAGAGTATCCGAGAACTCGGGCGAGAGCAGGTTAAAAGACAAAAATGGATCCACGCTGCTGGAAATCCCACTCTTTCTGGCATCCTTCCCTGTGTCTTGACTTTAGTGGTACAGGTGTCTGCTGTTAGCTTAACTTTCCCCAGCTGTGTGCCCTCAAAAGCAGGCTTGTGCTTATTAAGCATCTGGCAGTTGTATGCGCCCTATAACCTAGCATAATGAACAAAACTCAATCCACCATACTGCTAAGTTATACACTGACACTATAACCTGAAAGTTAGTTTTAGAGACTTTACTTCAAACATCTGCAAGTGTCTGAGGTAAATGGAGCTTTTTAGAAGCAGAGAGCCATCACAGCAAATTGATCAAATTGTTTTTAAGGAGAAGGAAGAGAAGCAGTATGGTGGAGCTGGAAAATGATAGGACTTACAGGTGGGGCTTGATTTTGAAGGTACAGTACTCCTTTGTATTTTTTAGGATTTGAATGCCTTTCAGATAGGCTATGAATGCTGCTACTAGTTGAGTTCACATGCTCATGTATTTATTATTTGTCTGTAAATTTTTAAAAACTCATTCAGATACAATCAGTATTAGTCTCTATTAAAAACTGTAACACGAGTAATGTTCCTAGAACTTCTAAGTCAGTGGTGGCGAATCTATGGCACACATACAGCAGTGGGCTGTTATCACTGAAAGCTCTAAGAAGTTCACCATCACTGTTCTAGGTGGTTCCTAACTACAAAAACAAGGAAAACAAAACAAGATGAATCACAAATGGCAATGGGATTGTTTCCTGGCAGGCATCACAGTGTGACACATCTTATAATGGACATGCAGACAACATTGCTGGTCTAAATGATCACAGGGAATCACTAATTCCAAGTGGAACCAATATAAACTGCCTTACCAAAAGGTTAGCCCAAACTAGACTAGGCTGACTTTGGTAAAAAGAGAATTTCTGAGTTCTGAACAGAGAGAATGTATCTTTGTGATAAGAAAGCACACACATGATGGCTCAAGGAGCTGAAGCAAGAATTTTATCGTTTTTAACAGATTTTCAGGTGTGGAATTCTATACTTGCAAGTCCACTGGGTAACTTCCTTAAAGACACTTCTATACATACTGCTGATTCCGCCACAATAATCTGCCACCAGTTGTGTTGAATTTCCAGCCTCTTTTAAATTTAGGCCAGAGCAAGTATTTTCCTTAAGAAAAACTGTTTAATCAATTCAAACTAAATGACCATGTGTTACTCAACATGCACACAAACTTATTATTTTTGAGTTTATTCTTAAGTTATTGCGGAAGGCAAATAATGTTTTGTACATAGTAGGGAGACAATGTTCTCAATGAAAAAAAGATGAACAAATTCCTACACACGGGAAGCTAATTAGGCTTGACAAAAATGAATGGCTCCAGTTACAGTGGTACCCTCTTATTGGCAGTTTTATTTTCTGCGGCTTTAACTGCTTGTGGCCAAAATACTAAAGAAAAAACCTCCAAAGATAAACAATTTGGAAATTTTAAACTGTGTGCTAGTCTAAGTACCATGATGAAATCTAACACTGTACTGCTTGAGATGTGCATCACTCTTCTGCCCAGTGCACCCTTGCTGCACATGCTCTCCACCCCTTAGTCATTTGGTAGCCATCTCCATTATCAGCTCAACTGTGGCACTGCTGGAGCTTGTGTGCAAGCAACTCTTATTTTACTTAATAATGGTCATAAAGTGCAAAACCAGTGATGTTGGCAATTCAGATGTGTTAAACAGAAGCCATAAAGTGCTTCTTTTAAAGTGAAATGGTGAAAGCTCTTGGCTTAAGAAAACTTTTATGCTGAAGCTGCTAAGATCTACAGGGAGAATGAGTCTTCTATCTATGAGCTTGAGAAGGAAGAAAAAGAATTTTCTGCTAGTTTTGCTGCTGCACCTCAAACTACAAATGTTACAAGCATAGTACGAGGTGAGAACATAGTTAAGATGAAAAAGGCATTAAATTACAAGATTTGTTACCATCTACTGTTTCAGGCATCCACTGGAAGCATTAGAACATTTTTAGAATGTCTTCCATGGATAAAGGGTAAGGAGCTCCTGTGTTTTAAAATATACAACCGTTACCCACACTGAAGAACTGATCCAGATACCCACGTAGCCTGTAGTATGTGCATGAGTAACTCCTGGCTGCTCATTTTACAGCACATGTATCTACATACTATGGAATAGCACTGAGAGACTAATTAGTAATCAGTTTCTAAAATCTGCAATTTCTTCCTCTTTACATCACTAAAAATGTCACTTATTACTGATGGATATCACATTAAATGAAAAAATCTTCTGAACTGTTCCTTCTCATGCCTTAACCTTAATCCACTTAATTAACGTCCATGTTTATACAGAGTTAAGAGTTACATGTCTTGTAAAATGATATATGCTTTATGTACTCACTGCAAACTTCTCTTCTCTTTTCTTCCGATAGCCAAAGGAATTTTTCCTAGAGAAGAGGAAAGCAAAAGATTATTTTTTTTCACTTGGAAAACTTAGTAAGCATATTATTTATGCTCATATATTCAAAGAATGAATCAATTCAGTCTTTATTACTTTGTAATCTTGCAAGAATGAATTTTGCTTCTAAAAGTCTAACTTTAAAAAGAATAAGCTAAACAACAATTTATAGTAAACATTTCAACCAAATGTCCAGATAAGGTAAATTAAAAAAATGTATTAAAGAATTTATACAATAGTTAATAGAATTTTTAAGATATAAACACATGAACAAGATGTAAAATCTGGTATCAAATTATATACATGCATCATTTAAAATAGTAGCAAGTTTCATCAAATGTGTATTTATCATTAAAATTTCTTTTTATCATTTCAACACAAAGGCTCTCTGCATCTTTTACTACATAAACTGGGAAAAAAAATTAGAAATAAATTTGTTTCTTTTATTTACACCTGACCATAAGCTGGTCTTGCCTAAAACGGCATAACTAAATCAGAATGGTAAACTTGTATCCCTTGCTTTCTGCGCTCAACAGAGGTTTGGTAGAGAGGCTCTATGGACCCCCTCCCCCAAGCTACTAGGCTCTAACAGGTCCAAACTTAACTTAACCCCAGGCTTGGTGGCCATTATCCCATCACTGACTGCATTACTTAGTCCTCCCCACCCCGCCTGACGAACAACTCAGGATCAAAATAGCTGGTGTGGCTTGTTTCCCTGAATAACACATGGTCTAGTTCCAATTCTATTAAACCATGTTGCCTGTGGCCAGTCTATCTTACAATCCCACCAAGGCTATATAGATGTTGAGCTCATCACTACAGACAAGATTGGCTATTTCTGGATTCCTCTTACTATTTGACTTTCAAACTGCACTGAAAGCAAGTAATCTCATTTTTTTGGTTTCACTTTACTGTCCGCCATGGATCTCTTAAGCCAAAGGTTAATTCAAAGCAAGAGCCTTACTCTCTTCAATTCTAGAAAGACTGAGAGAACTGAGGAAAATGTAGAAGCAAAGTTTGAAGCTGAAAGAATGATACTGAAAGACAGAAGTTGCCTCTAAAACATAAAAGTAGAGTTGGATCAGCAAATGCTGAGTAGACTGTACATGCTGCAATAAGTTACCCAGAAGATGTAGCGAAGGTCTTTAATGGAGATGGCTACACTAAACAGATTTTCAGGGTAGGTCAAACACCCATCTGTTGGAAGATGACATTTAGGGTTTCACTGCCAGAGAAATCCATGCCTGGCTTCCAAAGACAGGCTGACTCTCAAAGCAGCTGGTTACTTCAAGTTGAAGGTAAATCTAATTCACCATGTTGAAACTCATACAGCTCTTACAAATCATACCAGCTGTGCCCTGCCATGTGCTATGAATAGAATAACAAAGACAGCACATCTGGTTGTGACATGGCTTAATGATTATTAAGCTCACCATTGAGACTCACTGCTCAGGATAGAAAAAAAACCAGATTCCTTTCAAAATATTATTACCTATCAACAAGGTCTCTGAAGGAAATGAGATGGCTACACTGGATCAAAGAGTAATTTCAACTTTCTGTGGAGGTATTAGGGAATGAACCTAGGGAATACTGAGCTACATCACCAGCCCTTTTTATTTTAAGACAGTGTGTCTCACTTGCAAGACTACTGACTCAGCCTCCCAACTAGTTGGGCTTATGAGCATGTGCCACCAGACCTGGCTTCAACTTTCAAGTCTTAATATACCTTCTAGAAAGGATTCACCATTATCAATGCAATTAAGAACATTTGTGATTCATGGGAAGGGGTCAAATATCAATATTAACAGGAGTCTGGAAGGAGGTGATTCCCCTCCTCATAGATGACTCTGAAGAATTTAAGTGTTCAGTGGAGGAAATAACTGCAGAAATAGCAAAAGAACTACAATTACAAATGGAACCTAAAGATGTTGCCAAAGCATTACAATCTCATGATAAAACTAATGAATACACCCAGCCCTGCTCCTGTACTGGGGATTCAACCCAGGGCCACTAAACTGAGCAATATAACCTGCACAATTTTTAAACTTTGGGGATAGGGTCTCACTACGTTTTCCAGGTTAGGCTAAGATGTTCAATCCTGTTCTTGCTTGATCCTCCCTCAGTGTTAGGTTTATAGTTGTGCACCACCATGCCCAGCTAGGTGTTGCTTTTTATCTTTTTTTAAAGCAAAGTCCCTAGGAATACTGCTGTTATTATGACAAAACATTTAGAATATTATTTAAACTTACCTGATAAGTAAAGCTAGGTCCTGAGAGGACTGGCTCCAATCTGCAAAGTTTTACTGTGGGTGAAAGGCTATCTAACAACATCATATGCCACAGGGAACTCTTATAAAATATAGTTAATGCAGCAAAATTCACTACTGTCATTCTTTAAAGAAATTTCTACAGCCACCCCAACCTTTACCACATGGAAGCCACCTGTTGATGGCAAGATCCTCCACCAGCAGAAAGATCAGGACTTGGTGAAGGGTCAAACAGCATTTTGTGGCAATTAAATTTTTTAAATTAAAGTATGTACAATGTTTTTTTGATGTGATGCTATTATATACACACTAGGCTATTAAAGAATAGTGAAAACGTTAAGTTTTATATGTACACTAGGAGACAAAACGTGCCACATGTGACTTACTTTATTGTGTCATTTGCTTTATTGTGGTACTCTGCAGTGAAATGTGCAGTATCTCAGAGGTATATTGTTAGTGTACCAGAAAGAAGAATGAACAATTTTGGAGTTCCTGTAGGTCAGACATTAGTGTATACTTCATGAACTAAAAGTTTAGAAATATTTGTATTTAAATTTTTCAAGATAGGATAAAAGGAAATACCTAGATAAGATGAACTGCTTGCTCATCATCTGCCAGAGGAAAACCCTGAGAATCCTCATCAAATTAATAATTGAGGATGAAATGACCTACTTAAGACCATAAGGGACACAAACTCTTAAGACCCAACTGCATCTTTCTAATTTCATCCCTTTAAGGTGATATAAATGACAGAGGATAAACTAGCAAGGAATAAAGATCAAGGTGTATCAAAGCAAACAGTGAGAACGAAGTGGGTATACGAAAGTTGAGTTTCATAATGCACGGTAACAACCTGAAGTAACAACAAGAGATACCAAGGATGTTAAGACTTCTCACCCAAAAATGGAAATAATACCCAAGGACAGGTACCAATTCATAATGACAACTTTTGTTGATAGATAAATTCAGTAGATATGGAACTTAGCCACTGGTTTACCTGGCTATCAAACTCCTGAATCTGTCTACTATATCCAACTGCCAGCTAGAAAGCAAGCAAGTTTAGAAGCACGTGGGGTAAAGCCAGGAAGCCACCTTCTGATGAAGGCAGGACCTGGACAGCCAAGAGCAATTACCAAGGTGAGACTGCAGGCACACATAATGGAATCTGGGAACTGTGTAACTCCATTTCTCTATAAATAATATATAATGACTATGACTTAAAAAGAGTTCAATTCCACCTACTGTTCTCTCAGAATAAAAACTTCATGCCATGTAAAAATAAAACCAAAAAAAATCCAGTTAAGCCTCTGTTCTGAAAGTAATTGTTCTCATCAATTATATAAAATTTTTGATGGTTCCAGCTTTTAGTTTGATTTTCTGAACTAGATTAGAAAATAATTATACAACAACTAAAGTAAGGAAATTTTAAAATGTTAATAGTTTCTCATAGGTAAACAACAAAATACATAAGCAACTTACCTTCCTCTCCCTAAACCAGGAGAAGATTCAAGACTACTTGGCTCCACACGCCCAGTTCCAATATCTCTCTTGGCATAAGCTGAAGCGTTTTGTATTCGTGTTCTACTTTGCCCTGTTTGCCTTGTCTGTGTGCTCCGGACACCATTAATTAATCGATCTGCAGTGAAGTTAAATATTGAAGGACTTTCTAGCAGCCCAGGTCCTCTCTCTGCACTAGGAATCGCATGGCGCAGATGAGACTTACTAGGATTCCTATAAACAAAATGTATGTATATGTTCAGTTATAGAACAGTCAAGGTACTACATAATGAGCACGCTAATGTGAAATATCTAAGCTAAAATCTGCTACAGTATTTAATAAATATAAAAAAATTATTTAGAATAGTTAACATACAACACATAGAATCATGTCACCCAATTCACTAGTTTGGTTCACAAGCTCATTGGTTTGTTAACCCAGATCCAAGTTAAAATCAGGCATGCAATCATGGTACAAGTTGCCCCAAAAGCCTTCTCTGAAAAGAATTTACTCCTTGATGGAGGCAACTGACTTTGATGCTTAGTCTTTGCAGACTGCAGGTGTATGGTTCAAAAGTTACCTTTGATTAGCACTGTGTCAAATGTATCTAGTTACAGATACTGAGAAAAACAGCAACATGAAGCTGATAAGCACTGAATCATTTTTAGAACTTGCCTGCTTCTAGGAGGATACTGTCTGAGTGAAGCCAAAGGAGATGTTGCAGGTTTGAAAGTTGGAGATGTAAACCCATTTATAAATCCAGTATTTGGAAATGGAGTTACCTACATTCATTAAGAAACAAGTAAACACATTATCAAATAAACAATAATATCTTAGTATAATTTCCTCTTACCAGAAACATACTGTTCCAAGTTATGCTTAAGAGTAGATGTAAGGTTAGCATGAACATTTTTGTAAGATTGTTTTTTGTTTTTTTTTTTTTTTTTTTTGGTACTGGGAATCGAACTCAGGACCTCGTGCTTGCTAGGCAGGCACTTGTGCCACTGAGCTATATCCCTAGCGTAAGATTGTTATTAAAGACTAATCTTTGCTGAGCACTCACAATAACCTGATTGGTGATCAGAACTCTTTCTGCATCATCTCAGTTAATCCTCATAATAGTACAATGGAGAAGAAAATTTACACATGTAGAAACCAACAGAAGAGGACAGACCCTTTCACATACCTAGACCAGAAGAGAACATGGTGTTCTGAACATAGGCACTGGCTCAGTACGCCCAAATGCTTAACCTAAAGGATACTAATAACACTACTTTTATCCCTGGCCAGAAGTAAAATTATTTTTATTTTGAGTGACCTTCATAAATTGCATCAAAGTTCTCAATGTAAAAGCATTTATATACTGATGCTACTAACTTTGCTTAATTTCATCATCACAGGCTTTGAGAAAGTTATTTTTTACCCTCTACTTCCATGGAAGTATTGCTCTAAAAAACAGTATATTTTCAGATCATTAGTTAATTATTCTCCAAGTCACACTAAGGTGACACATGGCCTATAAATATACTGACATAAAATTCAGAAGAAAAATTTTAAAAGTTAAAGATCCGAGGCTGGGGATTTAGCTCAGTGGCACAGCACCTGCCTGGCAAGCGTAAGGTCATGAGTTCCATTTCTGGTACTGGAAGAAAAAAAAAAGTCACGGATCCCTTAAAAGATAATCCTAAATATAATCTTAAAAAGTTAAAAACATTAAGCATAGAAATTTAAACATCACTCAACTACTTTCAAAATTTAGACACATAGAAGATGGAGATGACTAATTTTCTGGCTTTTGACATATCACATACCCTGTATGTTACTGACATTCCTTTAAAGGTATTTAGTTGTATGGAATCCTCTAGTCCCCACCCTAAATTTTCACAAGACTGATAAAGGCTGCCCATGTTCAAAAATTAGGGGACAAAAAAAATTCTCTTTAGAGTTAACTGGAAGCTGTAATATAGCAGTGATAAACCTGTGGCACGAATGCTGCAGTGGGCTGTCTGTATCATTGAAAGCTCTGAGAGATTTGCCATCACTGCTACAATAGAAAGAGGATGTTGAAATAGCTTATCACTCATCAGTTTTAAAATAAAATTTAAAGCAACACAAAAGCAACACATCAAACAGAATCACTCTCTATGAACTTTTAAAAAATATACTAAAAATATACTACACTATTCAGGTCTAGTAAGATACTACTATATATTCAGGTCTAAATTTTTGAGATTTTTACTCATAGTAAGACTGATTATTTTACATTTGTAATTTTACATATGGAATTCTGGTGCTTGAGTAATTTTGCTTAGAAGTTTTAAAAATAAAATTGTGTAATAGTACTTAAACACTGTAACTTGCTAGGAATTAACAGGTACAATCTCTTTACCTTTGCTCAACTGACACAATGCTTCAAATCACAGAAAAGGCTTTGATGAAGGGACCTGATTTCACATACCTAGACCAGGTCCACATGGCTATCATAAAAAGCGCCCTGAATATAAAAACGAAAGTCAAGACCATAACTGACCCAAGGTCCCAAGACAGCATACTACAGACAAGGAAAAAAATGATCAGAGAAACAGGAGGAGTAACTGACTGTAGGAAGAGTGGAACTGGAAAAGCATGGCAGTTAGCCATGTTTGAGGAAGATTATTCAATAGCAAGGGATTAAGAAGTGCAGTTAGTTTAAGGTTCTCTTGTAATGAGGAACTATAAGGACACAGGTACATTTTTATAGAGTGTAGTAATATTTCTTAAAAGTAGTACATTTTCTTCCTATTTGGAAGAGACAGAGGAGAGACTGAAATAACTTTGCATTTTAGCCACTTGTATGGCAAACATGCTTTCACTGTAGTGATTCCAGATTTTTGGAGGGTTATGGGCCCCTTTGAAACTTTCTATCAACTGATTTTTCTGTCCCTACCTACCTTTTACATGACCTCATTCCCCTGCTTAGAAACATCAGACAACCTCCCACAAGCCACAAGGTAAAAGTTCATATACATTTGTATACCATGTAAGAAACCTGTATGACCTGGCCTGAAAACAGCAGTTTTGCTCTCATTGTCCCCATATCCAGTCCATGCTTTAGCCCAGAAACACAACTTGATCTATGATCATCTGCAAACTTTTGTGGATAAATTTACCCTTGAAACTTCCCTCTCTTTGACCCCTTATAATAAAATCTTATATAAATGGATAAGCTCAACTTATGTAAAAATACAATGCCTGATAGACCCTTAACTGTAAATTTAGTGATATTTTATAGATACGCTCTATTATCATAATTATCATCTTCTTGGCATATTTGTCCTTTCTAGCCTGAGTTTTTTCATAAGCACTTATTTTTACTTTTTAGCGTAGAAAAGGTACTAGCAATTCAAGTTTAAGGCTAGTGTGAGAAGTAAAACCAAACTTTATAAGACAGCATGTATTCTATTTGTCCTGGACTATAGGACTATTAAAATAACCCTTTCTCCTTAACAAATCTTCCCTTGCCAATGTGCTTAGAAGGACAGCAATTACCCAGGAGTTCTTATTGCATTCTGTGTCTTATAGGCAAGGAAATGCAGGATAGGAGGAGAGATGAACTGGGCAAAAATCATGACCACAGTACTAAGTTTTTACACATATTGCTCTGTTTTTATCACCCAATTATATTTAAAATCTACAACATAACTTGAAAGTTTACTATAGCAAACTGCAAACATATCTGGTTCCCCAATTAGATAAGGCTTTAAAATTTTCAGAGCACCAGTACAATGTCTAAAATATAAATTTCTGCTAAGTAAATTCCAAGGTTAAAAAAAAAAAGATTTACCAAGGGTGGATCAAGATAGCTATGCGTTGCTGACCACGTCTGGGGGGTAATCAGGCTGTACAGAGGAAACTGCTGCTGGGGACTGTATACTGGAGGTAAATAAAACGATGTTGTGTAACGCTGTTGTGTATAAAGGTTCATGTCCAGAGGTCTAAATCCATTCTTTGGCAAAAATGTGTTTATAGCTATTGCCTTTGCTTTTATCCGTGCCTGTTTGAAAACATTTAACTTTTTGTTAGAATACTGAAGAACACTGGCTAGAAAATAAAGAAAGTATAACCAACAATCTTGCTTACCTTAATTGGCTTTCCTTGAAAAGTTTTGACTTCTTCTCGCAGGTATTTGTAAGCCTAAGGGCAAAAATCATCCAAAATGCTATTCTAGTCATCTTATAAATAAGATAAAGTGGTAGTTAATTCAACAGCTCAAATAGGGAACTATAAAGTTAAATGGTCAACAGGGCATAAGGCAGTGATCCTTGACCTTCTGTGTCACAGGTACCTTAAAATAACTTCATACGCACTAGGAAACCCCCTACCCTAAAATGCTCAAATGTAAATTTGTTTTAAAAGTATGAATAGATACCATAAAAGTCTACTAAGGCCACAGGATAAGTATATTGACTCAGAGGAAACAATAAATACTCACTTCCTAATTTGAAATTAGGGCCACACAGTTCTGACATAGGTTGGGGAAAAAGATGAGGACTGAACATTCAAAAGTCATTATTTATATACAAATCTATTCTTTTCCACATTAAATCTAAATTAAGCTCCCTACATATTTCCAAAAACTCTGTATACTGATTTAATGACAACAACATTCCAGTGGGTCAGCATGATCATACTTAGTTCCACAAACATGGTGCTTCATAGTTCCCATTTTTCCTTTATTCCTTAGATGCAATTAGAACTGTCTCTCAGGTTCTTGTGCCTTTTCTTTTGAACTGCCAAGAGCATCTGCGTCATTTAATACTTCACACTCATTAATCTGCTTGTCCCAAACAAGGTAACTTCCTTTAAGGGCAAGGAAGCAATTATCTTAACTCCTTCTGTCTATTCAAGGAATGTACTTCTCAGTATCTTTAAAAGCACCTTGTAACACAATGATGGCCACTGAAAGATATGGTTAGGTTCAAATGTCCCTGAATTCTTCGCAAACAGCAAAACCTTTCTGTATATACCCAGCTATATGACCAGCAATGATTTTCCTAGGCTGCTTATGTAATAATATTCTTAGAAAGTAACGTCACGTGCTTTGCAGAATGCTACAAAACATAGCCATATAAGTTTCTATAGCTCTATTTTCTCTGCATTTTACATTCAAACTTAACACTCTGCTCTGATAACAATCTTGATATCCAGAAAAGGATATTCTGGATATTCTGCATACTAATATTAAACACAGGCAAGGGCCAGGGATATAGCTCAGTGGCACAGTGCCTGTCTAGCAAGCATGAGGTCCTGAGTTCGATTTCTGGTACCAAAAATAAATAAATAAGCACAGACAAGCTATGTACTACACAAGATGATAGAGAAATGAACTTACCTGCTGTGCATCAGCTTCTGTTTCAAATGTAATAAACCAATTATCATTATAGGCAAATTCACAGTTTATGAATTTCGGTAAATTATCTCCTTTAAATAGTGCTTCTACTTCCTACAGGAAATGGAGAGGTTAGAAATTAATGCTTAACTTTTGCCATTAACTAATGCCACTTTTTTCATCACTAAGATTAAAAACAAGAACAAAAGACATATCCTTAAACAGAGTCCATGCTGGGGATATAGCTCAGGGGCACAAGTGCCGGCCTGGCAAGCACAGGTCCTGAGTTCGATTCCTGGTTAAAAAAAAACAAAAAACAAAACAGAGTGCAACATGCTATGCTGCTTACAAATATTATTTTAAAAAGGCTGAATGATTCAGTGAAACTTCCAAAATTAGAATTGCCATGCCACAAGAAAATAGCTAGTACACAAATTAAGAGCTTTCCCCATTTCCGAGGAACCATTAAGGTGAATTAATATGAAAAATAACAAACTACTTTAGGTTGATAACTACATAAATTTAAAAAATAACTTAAAAACTAAAAAACACTAGCTTAACATTTGTTTCTGGCCAAGGTGAACTAGACTTACTGCTCCATATGACACAATCAAAAACAAGACAGAACTGTGAAATAAGGATTTTGAAATACTGGTAATCAGGCAGTCTAGGACAGTGGTTCCTGAAAGAGGGGTCATGAAAAAGATAAGATCTCAAAATGCCCAATTCATGCCTGGAGGAGTTTCTAGGTCACAGCACCAGAAGAGTTTGCACAGGTTCTAAGCTCCATGGAGAGCTCACCCCTGGTCCTCAGATTGAAATGAAAACAACTACCTGAAATGATTAGAAGGAAACACCACAGCATGAGCTCACCAGGAGTCAGAATGGAAAATTCTCCTTAACTTACAGGACATGAGGCAGAGTAGTCAAAAAGGGGGGAGTTGCCTTAGCAATGGGGAAAAATGAGTTTTAAAGGCTAGTCTGATTTCACCTAGCAAATATTCCTTAGGGATCAAACTGGTTCCAAATAACTTTTTATTCTTTGAAATGGGAATCTCACTGCTTTACCCAGGCCTCAGCCTCAGTCTCCTGAGAAGCTAGGGTTACAGATAGATGTACATCACCAAACTCAAGCTCATTTATAAGAATAAAAAATATCCAGTATCCAATAAAGCAAAATCCAAAATACCTGACAGTCTTTGAAAAATTACCAATCATGCCAAAAAACCCTAGAAAAATATCGTCTACAATACGGAAGAGTAATCAAATTAATGCTAGAAATCACAGAATATTAGGCAAGAGCATTTCAAAGAGTTACGGAATATATACACACTTCATATGCTCAAAAAGGTACACTGAGAATGCTAAACAGATACGGGGGGAAAAGGATCCAAATTAAACTTATGGAGATGAAAAATGCAGGTCTGAAAAGTACTTTAAATAAAATTAACAGCTTGTTAGACACTTTCTGAAGAAAAGGTCACAAGGGAGAAGAAAATATTTGAATGACTCAATGAAAGTATGAAAAACAAAGCTAAACCAAAGCATCTTGCAATCAAATTGTTTAAAACCAGTGATAATATTTCAAAGCAGCCACAGTTATACAGAGTAATGAAGATAAAAATGGCAGACACATCATCACCAGGCCACCAGAAGAGAGAACATCTTTAAAATATAGAAAGGAAGAAAATCGCTCATCAGTCTAGAAGTTAAATCTAGTAAAAACATATCATCAATGAGCCTAAAATATTTTCTCAAATGTACTAAAGATGAAAAAAATTAATACCAGCAGACTTATACCACAAGAAATCTTAATGAAATATTCAAGTTAAAGGAAGATGCTAACAGATGGGAAGTCTATACCTGCACAGAGGAATAAAATACAGAAATAGTAAATATTAAATACATAATTCTTATTTTTAATCTCTTTAAAGGAAATTGATTTATTTAAAGCAAACAATATATTGTAGAGCTTATGACCACACAGAATTAAAATATATGATAGCACGAGGTCAGAAGTGGTAAACTAATGTTGTAAGGAAATACTATTACATAAGTAAAGGCCGATTTTGATAAATTTAGTGCTGATGGACCCTAATGCAAGCACTATAAAACACACTCATACTTAGTGAAGCAAGTAAGAGATGGGGAGTGAAAAGGAAACAACAGCAGAAGCAAATAGAAAACAAACAGATTGTAAAAGTAAACCCAACCACATCACTGATCACTTAAGTACAAATGTGCTACACCCACAATTAAAAGGCAAGCTTTTTTCAGATTAGCTGGGGATAGGGATGGAGATACAGCTCAGTGTAAGATGTTTGCCTAGCAAGGTGCAATCTCTCACTTCTGTGTACCAAAAAAATGAAAAACTGAAAAATAATAAAAATTCACATTGCATAAGAAAAGCAAGAGCCAACTACACACTACTTACAAGTAGTTCATTTTTAATGGAAAAACAAACACAGGCTAAAATAAAAGAATGAAAAAGACATACCATGCTAACATTCATAAATGAAAGGGGCAGTGGCTATATGCACACCAGACGAAGTAGACTCAACAGCAAAAACAGTGCCAGGAAGAAACAGGGTCATTTCATAAAAAAACTATTACTCAGTTATACTTCAAAAAGTACTAAAGGAATTTAATCAAATAACCACAAAAATTATTTTCTGAGATTCTATAGCCTTGTTTTGTTGTGTAACCTCTAACAAATACTGGTTAAAAGAAAATAAATATATAAATGCAGAGGTCAAAACTGACTAATGGTTAGTATTTTTACTTCCAACCTCAAACAATAATTCTTCAATGCCACAAGACTGTCAGTAGTGCAAAGAGTAGCTCATTCTTCTGTCTCTGGGAGAATTCCATATAAACTATTGTATGAAAATCTCATATTAAAAATGTTCTAATCACTGACAAGAAACCGGTTACATTTAAGGAACAGAGAACTTTCTGGAAATTCCTACCTTACACTTTCAAGCCCCAGAAGATGGGCTCTGAATGACAGAATTGGAAACTTACCTTTTTCTTAGATTGTTTTAAGACTTTCACTGGCCAACTTTAACACAGATATACTGTGTGCAGTTTTAAACACAAGCATACCAAGATCAACGTCTACTGCTAAATGTAGAAAATTTTACTTGGTTGTAATTTTTACAAATATTTGAAATCTTAAAAATTAGGATCTGTTTTAAATATTAATTTGATCTCTTAAAGACAAATAAGTAATAAATATACTAGCCTTTCATATTCAGAACCTTAATAACAATGTGAAGAAAAAAAAATGCTTATTTCCTTTTTTCCACATACTGTAAAATAGAGCTACTAAAACTATCTTGTGAACAGGAAGTAAAACTTCATAGAACAAGACTGTACTTGAAGAGCTATATAGTTTCTTACTGGAGGCATGCAACTTTGTTGGAATCTTCACCTTTGTTAAATTTTGTAAGTACTGTCCTTAATAAACCTTCACACATACTAATCTAAGTAGGAATTAGAAGGTAAGTCTTAGGGCGGGGGATTTAGCTCAGCGGCAAAAGCGCCTGCCTGGCAAGCGCAAGGTCGTGAGTTCGGATCCCGGTACCGGAGAAAAACCAAAAATAAAAAATAAAATAAAATAAAATAAAAGCTAAGTCTTAGAAGTATGAATAGAAATCTCTGTTTCTTCTGCAGAAAAAGTGTTTAAAAAGACATGAATGGTTAGGTTTATATCCTGTAAGACAAGAGATAAAGGATAAACCAAGCTGACTGTGTTCTGTAAGAGTACCCTAAGCAGATAGGTGCTGTTTTCCAGGGTGGCTAAGAACTGATATGATGAACTAAGCTTCTAGCACTTCCCATCAAGACTTGTCTTCATTATCTCCAGGCCCACCCAGTGTGTTTACTGTACAGGAAAATTTAGTTTAAGAATCTGGACAAATAGTGGATAGCAATACAATGTAGCTATTGTTTTTCATTATCAAAAAAATTTTTTTTCCAGTACTAATGCTAGGCAAGTGCTCTACCACTGAACTATATCCCTAGCCCTTCAAAAATTTTGAGACAGGGAAGATGTTCAGACTGTCCTTGAACTTGTGATTTTCTTGCCTTCCAAGTAGCTGGGACCACAGGTGTGTACCTCTATGCCTGGCTATTTTTCATTATTCTTACTATCAAATACAGAATTACTGCTCCAAGTTACTGGTTCTCTAAGGATGATCCCAGACCCCATTTTCACAAAAAAGGTGACCACGCCTTCTTTTACTCGGAAGACATTTACATTTACAATGGCAACAATTACTAGAGTGGCCATGGTAGTTTCAATCCTGTAGCAATTACAATTGTGCTCAGGGACTTCTTCAAACAGGCCATTTTGTCATAAAAATACTTATTCTGAAAAGTTATTTATCATAACAATGCTCTTTTTCTTAATTTGGAATTTATTGTTATTTCTCAGTGAGTAAATATTTAAAGTTTTTCTCATTTTTAGCTTCTAAATACTTAATGTAAAGTGTGTAAATGAGATTGCGTGTAGTGGCACAGAACACTAATCCCAGCACTTTGGGAGAATGAAGCAGGAGGACTGCCAAGTTTACGCTCAAACTGGAACACTTAGGGAGTTAGTGAGACCCTGTCTCAAAAAAGGAAGGAAGGACGGTGGGGTTGGGGATGTGGCTCAGTGCAAAGGTCTTGGGTCCAAGTTCCAGTGTCACAAAAATAAAATGAGGGCAACAGTCTTGAAACCAAAAAGGTTGAGATTCATTTCTTCCTATGAGTGAATCACATTATTACTACCAATGTGAATAAACCCTGAGAAAACTTAAGTATTTATTTTAAAAAATAAACCCTCTAAAAACACAGATGTTTAAAAACAAAACAAGATAAAACAAAACAAAAAAAAGTCAAGAAAATGTCCAAGTACCCGTGAGAGACGTTACTTACTTCCACAGGGGTAGATTCAGATATTTCACGCAATATTACTATGCAACGATTTTGATTTGGCCTTACTTTTTCTCCTTTCTCATCCACTTGGACTAAAGGTAAAGCTATAAAGAGAAGAAAAAGAAATGATTAAACACAAATATTAAAACATGACACTCCAATGGAGTGTGTAACATTCTATTATTAATCACACTGAAGAAACCGGAAAACTACTAGCAAATTATCAGTAGTTCTGACAGTCTAAAACAAAAGTATCAAAAAAATTCAAACCAATTTTGCACAAAGAAGTTTTCTAAACCGAGGAAGGTAGAAATTTAAAAAGTCCTACAAGAGCTATAACATGTATCATGATGAAATACAAGTTCTAAACTGCTCAAATAACAGTAGATTAGAATATAAGGTTAAAAAATTGCACGTGAAACACTTGAAAGAATCAGCAACTGGGATCTCATCCTACTGAAAAGTTTCTGCACATCTAAAGAAATCACCAGCAGAGTCAAAAGAAAACCCACAAACTTGGAAAAAATTTTAGCTGATTGTCCCTCAGACAAAAGCCTTCTATCTAGAACATATAAAGAATTAAAAAATTTCAGCCCCTCCAAATTCAAAGACCCAATCCAAAAATGGGCAGCTGAGATGAATACACACTTCTCAGACAAGGAGATACAAATGGCAAATAAATATACGAGAAAATGTTCAACATCATTAGTCATTCAAGAAATGCAAATTAAAACAACACTGAGATTCCACCTTACCCCAGTAAGAATGGCTAGCATTAAGAAATCAACCAATAACAAATGCTGGCAAGGCTATGGAGAAATAGGAACCCTTCTCCACTGCTGGTGGGAATGCAGACTGGTGAAACCACTGTGGAAATCAGTCTGGAGATTCCTCCGAAAACTAGGCCTAGAGGTCCCATTCAACCCAGCTATCCCCCTGCTGGGTATTTTCCCAGAAGATCTAAAAACATCATATCACAGTGATGTATGTGCACCCATGTTCATAGCAGCACAATTTGTAATCGCTAAAATGTGGAAGCAACCCAAATGTCCATCCACTGAGGATTGGATAAGAAAATTGTGGTACTTTTATATAATGGAGTATTACTCAGCTGTAAAGAAAGATAAACTCGAGGCTTTTATAGGCAAATGGTCACAACTAGAGACCATACTCATAAGCGAAATAAATCAAACATACATGTGCAAGCACCGCATTGTTTCTCTAGTGTAAAGCCTGAAAGAGTTAATTCAATCTAGGAGATATGACAGACATTGAGAATTGATAGGAAAGCACTCATAGGTAAAGGATAACTGGGATATGGGAAAAGAGAAGGGAAAGAAGGAGAAAGTTTGTATATATGTATATGCAGTATAGTTAACACGGGTGTTCTACTGTCCTGTATTTCCTTGCTGAAAGAAACTGTCAGTGAGGCATTGGTTGATTAACTTTGTATGTCTATATGTGTTTTCATGAGAAACTACATTGAAGATATCAATATGTAATACAATAAGCATTGTTAATTCCCTACCACTCTGTTTGTAACTCTGTAATGTCTGTACTGATCCTATGCTATTTTGTAAAATGTTGTCGGTCTGTTAGTATTTTCCTCCTTTTATTTCTAAAATTAAAAAAAAAAAAAAGAATATAAGGTTAAAGGTTTTCTTTGCACAACTACAAGTGAAATAATTTTGTCTTATTATAACATCTTATTTTGCAATTGTCTAAGGCTCATGCAAAGTTGCAATGCACCCTTTACCCAGTTCTCCCTAATGATAATAACTTTAGAGCACATTCTGCACAAGGATGCTGATGATGGTGCAAATGCCATGGTAGACACAGGCCAAACTCAGGCCTAATTTCATCAGTCCCTTTGGGCCCTTCTCAGTAGTTTGTCTTCTGGTGTCACTTCTATGGATTTATGTCACATGCAGATTCAAACAATAGTATGGTATGATCACAACCAAGGCTCAGGAGGATCCATTATCATGACAGAACAAATCACTAGTATCACGAATGGAAGTGGTAACATTACTGTAGGTCTTACCAACTTTTACAGGCAAATAACAGAATAGAGTACAATCACACTATAAATAGTATCTAGATAAATTTATATAAATAAGTTATGCATTTCACATAAAATAGAACATTCCTTAAAAGACACAAACTATCAAAGCTCACTCTAGAAGAAAGAGGTAACAGGAATAAACATGGATCTACAAGAGAAATGGAATTTGTAGTTAAAAATCTTGCCACAAGCTGGAGTGGTATTATACATCAATAATTCCAGTATTCTAGGAGGCTGAGGCAAGGTATCTAAAATTTAAGCCCAGAGTGGGCAATTTAAGAGACTTAGCATCGTAAAATAAAGAATAAAAAGAACTGGGGATGTAGCTCAGTGTAAAGGTCCAGGGTTTAATCCCCACTGTGCAGAGTTGGGAGGAGAGGGATATCTTTCTTATCTTGATGGAAAACGATTCCCTCCGTAACTGAGAACAAAGCAAGGATGTCTATTCTCCCTAGTTCCATTTAACAAAATACTAGAGAGTCTACCAGTACAATCAAATAAGAAACAGGAATGAAAGGCTCCTAGATGTGTATAAAAAGGTATTCACAGAAAATGAGCTTGCCAATGTAGAAATCTAATTTCCATAAAAAAATCAGAATTTACTGAGTTTACTAGTGTTTGGTATACAAACTATATACACGAAGAATAAGCATACTAGCACTAAACAACTAGAAACTGAATTAAAAGTATCATTTATAATACCATAAAAATGTAAAGTATGTAGTTATAAATCTGATAAAATATATGAGAAACCCATGTATTGAAAACCTCAAAATGTTGGCAACATTTTAAAAGACCTAAATGGATAGACTGGAAGACTCACTATTGATGAGATGTCAGTTCTCCTCAAGTGGACTTATAGAATCAACACAATCCCCAAAAAGTTCCAAAAGCCCTTTTGAAAATAATAACACTGATTCTAAAAGTCATGTGGAAATACAAAACATTTTAAAAAGCCAAAACAAAGCTGGAAACTTTGTACATCTACTTTAAGACTTATGTAATTACAGTAATCAAGACACTGTGGCATTAGCATTAAAACAGACAAATAGCTGGGGATGTAGCTCAGTGGCAGAGCACCTGCCTGGCAAGCGCAAGGTCGCTGAGTTTGATTCCTGGAAAAAACAAAACAAAACAACAGACAAATCAGTGAAACGAAACACAGTCCAAAGATAAACTCGTGCATGTATGGGCAAATGATTGTGACAAAGGCATAAAAGCAGTGGAAAGTTATTTCAACAAATGGTGTTGAAACACTTGTAATACTGGATAGATACCTCACACAAAGTACACTTAATGTACATTGTCTATTTACATTGTACATTTAATGTACAATGTCTAACTTAAAATAGATCATAACCTTGGACTAAGCAAGACGTACTAAAAGTAATTTATACTTCTGCTCCTCAAAAGACACTCACAAAAACAAAATAAGTCATAGGGTGGAAGAATATATTTGTAATTATGTATCTTTATTGAAATATATACATGTTTGAAAAAGGGACAATAACTGGACAAACACATGGAAAACAAAAACATGTAAACACAGACCTTAAACTGATCATAAAAATTAACTCAAAATATCAAAAATGACAAGAGATCTAAATTTAAAACAAAAACTGTAATTTTTAGAGCACAGGTGAAATCTAGGTAACTTGCAATGATTTTTTCAGATGTGACAGCAAAGGCATAATCCATGTAAGAAAAAAATGATAGGTTGACTTCATTAAAATGTAAAACTTCATTGAAATTAAGCATGAAAGAAAATGACACAAGAGTATAAAGTCAATCCATAGACTGGGCGTAAAGTTTTGAGAAGTCAAATCTGACACAGGACTATTAAAGAAAGATCCTAGATGTTAACAATGAGAAATAAACCCAACAATAAAAAAATGGATGAAACAACTGAAATGACATTTCACCAAAGATGATTTACAGATGGCAAATAATCACATGCAAATATGGTCCATATTTTCTCAGAGAAATCCAATTTTGGTGAATTCTTAGAAGTTAAATATACTTTTACCATGATACACTAATCAGTCCTTGGTATTTATTTACCTAAATGAGTTGAAAACGTATATATGTACATACATAATCTGTAAACAAATGTTTATAGCAGCCTTATTTGTAACTGTCAAACATGAACCAACCAAGATGTCCTTGGATAAACAAATTGTGGTGCATTCAGACAATGGAATATTATTGAGCACTAAAAAAAAGACTCAGGCGTGATGCCTGTTATCCTAGCATTCAGGAGGCTGAGGCAGGAGGTTTGAGGCCAGCCTGGGCTACATAGTGAGTTCAAGGCCAGCCTAAAACTACACAGTGAGACCCTGTCTCAAAAACACAAAAAAGAAAAAAAACCAAAAGGCCAAAAACCCACAAAACAAACCAACCCAAGGAAACTCAAATCTGTATCACCAAGGCAAAGAAGCAAATATTAAAAGGCCATACATACTATATGATTCCAACCCTATGATATTCTGGAAAAGGTAAAACTATGGAGGCAATAGAAAGGTTAATAACTGCTAGGGGTTGGGGGAAAGCTGAATAGGCAGTGCAAAGATTTTTAAAGCAATGAAATCTTTCTATATAATACCCTAGTGGTGGATACTTGTCACACATTTGTCCAAGCCCACAGAACGTGCCAACACCAAGAGTGAACCCTATTTGGGCCCAGTGGCATGTTTACAATTCCAGCTAGCTACTTGAGGCTGGCAGGTCACAAATTTGAGGATTGCCAGGGAAGCTGAGTGAGAACCTATCTCAAAAAAGGGACTGAGGATGTAGCTCAGCAATGGAGAACTCTTGGATTCAATCCCTTTCCCAAAAACCAAACCAAAGCAAAAACAAAAATATGAAAAATTTGAATCCTAATGTAATCCTAATCCAAAAAATGTAAATGTAAATGGCGGATAATAACAATAAATTGTTGTGGGTTCACCAAATCTAAATAGATCACTCTGGTGGGGAATGCTGATAGTTACTGAAATTACCTTCCTCTTAATTTTGTTATAAACCCAAATAAATGGGTCTACTTTGTGTGGCTCTATTTGAAGGAACACTTCAGAAAATGAACCACTAAAGAAACAAATTTAAATCACACACATTGCTAAACATCTATTAGAAAATCTAAAATTAAAATGACTGCTTTCTAAGTGTTGGTGAGTCTGTAACTGGAGCTCTCCTGAGTAAGAGAACAGTGATGGCAGGCAAGATAAGGATAGGCTGAGTGAATACGATAGCAGGTAAGGTAAGGGTAGGTTGGCATTTCTGATCTCTAATTTTGGATAAGTGATCCACACAAACTGGTTCCTTTAAACAAGTATGCAAAGTAATTAAGTATTCTCACAGACTGGATGAGTAGCCCTTGATTAGCAAGAATCAACTCTGAAATTATCTTCACTGGGACAGCAAAGTTTGCAATGTATGCCTAAACAAAATAACTAAATCTGGAATTCCTAAAAATAATCAAGAAGACTTTTAAGAGAGTAAAGTACAGATAGGTAAAGAAAGTTGCAGCCTTGTAAAGTGAATCAGACAAAACAAAATTCAACTGATTAAAAACAAGTAGGTTTCTATTCTAAACACTGACACTGGAAAATAAAACATCACCTTAGGAAATGGCACAGTGTTCAGAATTCACAGTTAATTATGTTTACTAGTTTTTTTTTCCTAACAATAGAAAAACAGAAAACAATTCACTTCTGACCAGAAAATCCCAACTAAGTTCTAAAGGAAGAGGTTAATTTTCTTTTCTTTTATTACTGTTAAATCAGATTCATATGAGAAAAGAGAAAGATGGCAATTTGTCACCAATGCATAGGGTCAGCAACAATGTGGAAACATCTCTACATAAGTGTAACACAAGGCATGGTAGTCAGAGAAATGAGACTTTCATTTATGCATGTATGACTCATCTTTCAAAAATATGAAAGTAGTAGTGGAAAAGGCACAATTCTTATTGTGTTCCTGTGAAGGATACCCACCAAAACTGCAGCATGTATCAGTCCTGAAGAGGGAAACTAAAAATAATTTCACCGGAATTTTTAGCCCTATATAAAAAGTAAATTTGTAATAATTAAAAACAAATCCAATAAAGCACATATCTAATAGAGAAGGAATGTGCAATGAAGCCTTTGGGCAGGAAGCATCACAAAGGCCAGGGAAACTCTGAGAGCGCTGAAGGGACTGTTATCTTCCCTGTGGCGATGATGGTTTCATCCATGTCTACCCTTCTGTCAAAACTTACTGACTGTACATTTTATATACATGCACTTGATGTCAATTATATCTAAGTAAAGCTGTTTTTCTTCTTTTAAAGAAATAGAACAAGCCAGGCATGGTGGCACACGCCTGTAATCCCAGCACTGGGAAGGCTGAGGCAGGAGGATTGTTGTGAGTTCGAGACCATCCTGGGCTACAAAGTGAGCTCACGGACGGCCTGAACTGCACAGCGAGACCCTGTCTCAAAAAGACAAAAAAAAAAAAAAGAAAAAAAGAAATAAAATTAAAAAAATAGAACAGAAAGGTAGTACAAGCAAAGCAAGTAAGGACACAAATTAAATGATGACATAATAGGCAACACTTTCACTACATTTCCTGAAATTCCTGTGGGTCTCTGTTGTAACATTTAAACATTCGTTTGATGTTGCCAAATTTCAAAGAAACAACTTCATTCACAATATCCTTTTAAGGAAAAATGCAATATTTCATCCAAACTTATACAGGAAGTTGAAAGAAGAAATTCTTTGAGCAGGAAAAATGCTAATTAATATGTACTTTAACTATAAATAATGTTTTTATTGTTTTTCAGGAATAAAACAACAGCTGTCTACACAATATCTTTTAAAGAGATTCCTTTTCTCCGTCAAATGACCTACAATCTGTTCCAGGTTTCATTATGGATTCAGTCAGTGCCCCCATTATGATGACTGGTCAGAAAGGAATTATGGCCATTCATGGAAGACTCAATTTGCCAAGAAGCAATGTTTGATAGCTCTAGATGTAAAGGCTCACACTGATAAGACAAATAGTGTAAAGACAAGTATTATTCATTTTAAATTGTCATTTACTTACATCTTAGCACTTCAACAATCAAATCCACATCAGTACTGAGTTTCTTGATATGGTCAAGGTTAGCTACAGTTGTAATTGGCACATACTGATCACTATCCATCTGTGATATAAGATACATGTCACTAGCAAGATTCTCCCTGTTGAAGGAAAATAATTTCTTTTAGTTATACTTCTTTAAAAGAACCTTAACCTACAGCAATACCAGTTTCATAAGAGATACCTAGGCATGGTATAGCTTTGGCGTTACAGCTAAGTCCAAGACCCATCTGTTACTTGCTCTCTCTATCCATACGTACACTTTTTTTCAAACTCTCTAGGAAAGGTAGAGAAAGCAAAAATAAACGTAAACAACAATTCATGCAATCAAAACTAATGAGCAGCTGAGCATGGTGATGCATGCCTGTAATCCCAGCGTTTGGGAGGCTGGAGTAGGAGGCTCACTGAAAGTCTGAGGTTGGCCTGTGCTACAAAATGAGTTCAGGACCAGTCTGAGCTAGAGACTTAAAACAAAACAAAACAAAACAAAAACCAAACAACAGTAACAAAAAACAAAGAAAACTAACGAGCAGATTAACTTTTTTATGATGTAGTTATAGCTCATCTTGAAGTAGTTTATTAAAAATAGAAAAGTTTTTAAAAATAAGGAAATCCAGTTGAATGAGTAAGAAGATAAGAAAATTTTGAAAAGGCCAGAATAAGGTCAGTACTCAAAACGCCTACTACTCAAAATGCCTACTGCAAAGAATGGAACACTTGGTAGAGAAGCTGCAAATTTGGCCCTGGCTTCCTGATAGCCAGAGTTAAAAAGAAGAACACAGGGTGAGCCACTTAGTCCACAGGGTGAAAAGGTAACTCACAAATAATTAACAGTATAGGCCAAGATGGGTTATTTCTTGGTATTCTGCTCATAGATAACAGTTTCCTGTGAATTCTGAAGAAAAAGACAATGTGTGTCATAATGAAAAAGGCCCTCAAAAAACCATCCAAAGCTAAAATGCAATAATGGGTTTCAAAGGACCCGTTCTTGCAATGAAGGGGAATGATAATTTCAGCATTCAATTAAAGTGAGTGCTGTGTAGAAGGAAATACTGTTGTCATTCATCGCAGCTAGTCATCACTTATATGTGAGTGATTCTGGGCACATAAGGGCTACATATGGGTACGTGAGTAGCACGGGGCTGATTTTCAACTTCTGCCACAAGATCTTGTGTTTTCACTATCTGTGCACATGCGTGCTGTGTTGTGCTATGTGGTACTAGGGACCAAATCCAGGGCATAACACATGCTAGGCAAACACTCTGACACTGATCCACAACTCTTGTTTTTAACTATGCTACTGTGCAATATACTCAGTATTCCTAATCTGAGACAACATGGAAATAAAGAAGGGTGAGTATACCCCATTCTCACTATCCTTGAGGATGGGACCTTCATCAGACACCTCTGTGAAGTCAACTTCAGATTCAAATAAAGTTACATTTAGCCTAGTATTGAATATCCAGTTTTGTCATTTCAACTTTAAAGGTTTTAAAGTATTTTACAATAGAAAAGGTATTTATTCTGGAAAAATTATAAACATGAGTGATATACAAATAAAACACTTCTGTGCCATCTGGCATATTTTGAGAAACAATATAGCAGGCCATTTATAGTCAGACTTTATTGAGATTGAGATCAGAGACTGATTCAGTGGAACGGGGGTTGGGTGGTCCAAGAATATGAATTTGAATACATATTCCAGATAATGATCACCAAGATGAATTTGTGGACCTAACTCTGGAGACCACTGATCTGAGAATTATGATCAGTCTCTAATATGCCAAAAGGCTATTTACTCAATATTCTAGATATCTGATTAACAGATGTACATACACATAGATTATTAATATACATATGAACTTCTATGTAAAATCACATTTGTAGAGAGTAACCAATGCAATATGTAATACCACTGCTATCAGGCACTAGGAAAATATACTACTGGCCTTACCTAGATAAGCAGAACTCCAATGTTTTTTTAAGTACTTCCCGGGGGTCTTCCTGGCTTTCTGGCTGAGATTCATTTCCTCCTACAAAAGTAATAATCAACTCAGGAAAAATGGCTTTAAATTTACCAAGAAGGTAATGCAGGATGGAAATACTAATATTTTTAATACATGTACTAACACACTTGCATATGTTCACGGAAAATGCTATTTTATATAACCTCAAAATGAAAATCATGTTTAAAAAAAGTCTTCACTTACTCCTAAAAAAAAAAAAGCAACAGTTTAAGTTTCATTAACAAAGTTTAGCAAGGGTTTTTTTTTTTTAATCACAAAATAACAGATATAAGCTTAGTTCATACCTTGCCTCATTTCAAAAAGTAAACCTGTAAGAATACAGTTAATAAACAATAACAAAAAATAAAGGAGAAAATTAAGACAAGAAAAAGATAAATACAGACAAAACACTAAGGCCGATGATTGTAAACACACAGATCATTAAGGGCTAATTAATTTTTACATTAGGGCCTTAGGTTTGCCTTTTAAGTTTCCAGCTAGTCAAAGTGACAAGTGAGAAACTATTGTGTTACCAAGCCCTTAGAAAAACTAAATAAATCAGGTCTTCAAAGGACACACGAAGCTTGTTCTAAACTCGAAAAGAAATTGCTCGTCAGAAGAGATAAGGTGGTCTGGCAGATGATTTACTAGCAGGTGGTCATGAACAGTACCGGTCATGGACTATGAACCTCTCATGGAGTGAAATCAAGTTCAGGTTAAGACTCCTGTCACCCTCAGAAAATCTGGATTTTATTAATATCAACATAGAAAGCACTGAAGTGCTAAGAACTATGTCTTTTTTTCTCATATAGTATTATATAAATTCGCCTGGCATGATCATACATATGCTAGGCTAATGAAAGACATTTGCACTTTAAAAGTCAAAGACCTTGAAAAGGCAGGTAAAGTTAGGGGCATTTAGAAGAAACAGTGGCAAAAAGTTCATGTCAGCATTATATGAGGAGCTTTAATAAAATCTGCCCTCACCAGCATAACAAAAACAAAATTGCTAGAACAACCAAAAGCAAAATAAACCATAAACTTGAGACTGAAAATTGAAAACACTGTCTGTTCTTTCCTCATCCAGAGGCTTTTCCTGTTTGTCCCATTTAAACTCACATTCTACCCTCTCTCCAAACATAACTAATATTTTCTAAGTGTCTCCTGCATGTTGGGGACACTGTAGGAACTATGAATTAAGCCTAAAAATGCAAGGCCTCTGTTCTCAAGAAGTCAGCCAGCATTCCAGTGGGAGAGGCAGACAACAGGTAAAAATACCAGACTACACAGATAGGGTGACAGAGACACTGCCACAGAAGAAAACAAATGAGGATAAGGGACCAGAGCAACATGATGCTGTCTTGGACAGGAAGTAACATCTGATCTGATGGAGAAGTCCTGGGATGTGTGGGAAGTGAGTTCTAAAAACGGCTGAAGCAGGTACAGGGACCCTGAGGATACAGTCAAGGGATAGTATGGATGCTGGCAGAACTGAGGAGGGAACATATTAAGAAATGAGGTCACAGAGTAAGGTGTATGATAATCAAATCAAAGAGGACATTACAATTTTAACTTAAATGCAACAGAAAACCAACTCAGTGCTGACATTTTGGGACGACCTCTCTGGTTCCACAGTACAAATGGACTTGTGAACACACAAAACATAAACAATGGAACAGTTAGGAAGCTAACATGACAATCAAGGGCATATCCATCAGTTGGGACTTAAGGTACAGGCGGCAGTGAAACCAAAAGTGAAGAAAAAAATGAGGCCTAGGAATTAGTCCCAGCACATCTGGAAAGAAGAGGAAGGTCCAGGGACACAGATGTACCTAGTAATCCTCAAAGACCACAGGAAGAACATGAAGTTGAGAGCCACGAGAATAAAGTATTTTCCAGACTAAAGAATCACCAACTATAAAATGACACCAGGAGAGTCAAGTAAGAAATGAGAACTATCAGTTGTTTCCACCAGAATCACTTAAGACCTTGAAAAATTTAATTTGGGGGCTGTCAGAACTGTCTGTCTGGACTAGCCTCAAGAGGGACCAACCAGGAGGCAAGGACAAAGGTAACAGCCAACAGAGAAAATTATCTTGAAGCATTCTGTTAGGGAATGATGAGCTGTCAATGGTAGTTTCACTTAAGATAAGAAGGTAGAATGCTAGAATGATGGAAAATGATCCAGTAGTGTAAGAAATTTATTACTGCACAGAAAAAACAGACAAAGGAACAAAGATGGTGACCAAAGAAAGAAGGGCTTCCTTGAGAGACTAGATACTGGACTGGGTGATGTTAGTAAAATCATCTGCCTCCAGGAAGATGGAGTGACAGGGATTGGGGTTCCTTTTCCCTTTTAAAACACTAACAAGAAAAAATTAAAAATGAAACTAGTTTTCTACATATGGAATATCAGGCAATGAAGGCCATGAATCCCTGAACATCATGAATATGTGCGGTAATACTATGATAGCCCCAAACTACTGCGTCAAGGGAAGTCCCAGACACAATAGAGCTAGAGATGAACATTAGAATGTCTGACAGAACTGATGAAATTAAGAGCAGGTATTATAGAAAACTCATGAACTAAAAGACTTATTGACAAAAACCTTGTGAAATACAATAGAGAATGAGAATCAAAAAATATGGAGAGGGTTAGTAAGCTATAGGATTTCAAGTAGCACAATGTAAGTTTAACAGGTAACAAAATGCTCAAACCCCACCAAAGAGAGAGAAAAAAAAAAGCTTCACAGGAACAAACTTCCACCAAAATGGTGAGTATGAGGATAAAGATTTAAGGTTTTCCCTTTTTAAAAATTAGTTTAAATATTTAAGAAGAAGCATTTATTTGAAATGCTGAGTAGAAGGCATAGACCAAGTCCTGGTTTACTAATATTTTGAAGAATAATTTGCTAGCAGAACTTTTTACTTTATTCTCAAGCTTCTTTAAAAAAAAAATGCTGTTTCTCTTTCCAAATTCTGTTTAATTTTGACTACAGATTTCCCACGGATCCTTTCAGCTTTTGGGATTCCTTTCATTAATGTAGTTGACCCTGCGTCAACTACATTAAAATTACACATCATAATATATCATAATTTAATGACATCTTTAGATAGATTTGTGTGGTTTTTCAATTTCCTTTTTCAGATATATGACCATTCTTCTTCATTGAAAGGCACATAGGTCTCATGAAAAATACTGATGGATGCTAGAAAAAATACATCTCCATATTTTTTGTTTTTGTATTTTTTCTTGGTCTCTTGTTTTCATGTCAGGTCTGAACTGGTTGCTCAACCAATGATAGTGGCTAACTGGGCTGCCACATAATCTGAAAATCCCAGATCAATGTTTTGCTCTTTCTTTTCCTCTCTCATTTTTCTGCATCTTCTGCACAGATGCCTAGGAACTTTACTTTCTCATAGTGCTACTCCTATTCTTTGAATTAATCAGTTATCTTTTACTTTGGTAAAGTAGTGCTTCCTTTTTGGTGTGCACTCCTTTTTCTTCTTGTGATTCCCATTTCTAAGAAACATTTTGGCTTCCTAATTTGCAGGTAACTTGTCCTTTATCTTCTTCCTCAATTTCCTCCAAAATTTAATTTATGCGTTTCATTCTTCCTGACTTCAGTTACAGCTTCCATTTCAACCTTCCTCTTCCTACTTCAGGGAAAATCACAGACTGCTTCTACCATCAAGTTTTTTCCCATAGTGTAATTTACATCTCTTTAAAAGATACCTGACTTAAAAATAAAGCAACACAATATCAGTTTATAATAAATGTAACTGTAAAATGTATGATGATAAAAGCATCTAGGCCTGGACTGTTCTTATGCTGTACATGAAGCAGCATACAATCAATCATTTGAAAAGAGATTATGTTACCTGAAGAAAAAGAACACAAACACTATAGAAAGCCAAACAAACCAAAGTAAAAGACAACTGATTAATCCAAAGAATAGGAGGAACTTCAGAGGAAAAAAGAAGCAAGAATAAATGGGCAAAAAGGGGAACACACTTCATTGCCCAGATGGTAGAGTCTAACAGCATTGTCCAATAAAAGGAACTAGGCCTTGGAAATTCCTCATTTTACCAAGAAAAAAAACAAACAAAACAACAAAATAAGCCCTATGTTAATGCATAATTTTACATTTTATGATCTGTTTACACTTCATGGGGCATGCCAAACCGAGCTCACTAAAAGCACTCCTAGCAGGCCAAAGCCAGAACAATCTGAGCCACCAAATTTAACAGTACTGGATTGTAACATGAAGTACAAATAAGTATTCTTGAGTCCATACTTAATAAATTTTCAACCATTTATAGCTCACAAATTAGGAAAAGGCCATTAGATTCACATTGTTGCAACACTCTTATTTATATTAAGGCATGTATTAGTCTCTCTGTGGAAACAGATCTACTTCACAAAAACTAAACCACCAGACATAAAAACAAAAAGGGACAGCAGACAAATCTCCCATACACAAGAATTTCAAGTAATTTGTATAGATTCTTTAGCCTTGTGGAAAGCAACCATAAATCCCCATTCCTTAAGTGTGGCTCTACAAAATAACTTCCTTCCCAACAGTAAAATATGGAGAGGGGAGAAAACAAGGCACAAATTCACAGCTGAGAACCTGACATCAACAGTACTTGACCAGTACCCCTCAAAACTGTCAAAATTATCCAAAGCAAGGGTAGTCTCGGAGGAGCCTAAGGAGACACAATGACTAACAAGTATCCTAGAGGGAATGTTGGAACAGAAACAAGATGAGATAAAATGTATCATTACTGGTTCAATATCTGTGTTAAATATATTAATGTAGGATGTTAATAGGAAAAACTAGCTGTGAAGTGTAGTTGCTCCCAGCGGCAGATGTTAAGACACAGAATGCTCTGGCATGTCTAAAAAATGGTTCCTTTCCCCTTTTCTGCCAGAGCACAGGAACTGTTTTCAGATATCAACTGTAAGGACCTGGTTGAGATCCTAGAAGTAAAATTCACAAAATTAAGGTACCCCACCCTATGACCAGGCCTCTGTGCAGTTTTTACCTATTAGTTTTGTCTACCCTGAGCCTCTAGTAATTTGTCAATTACAGGTCAGGTTTTCCTACCTTGGCTCTGGCTCCTACAGAGGTTTCTGCTCAGTAAGCTATGATTGTCTGTGATCACCTGCCTCTGCAATTTTGTGAGTTTACCCTGTGATCTCTTTCCTCTTCTACAAAGATTTGTTGGTTTTTTACTTTTTTCACACTGTTATCTGTTAGGATAGAATGGTGTCTTCCAAGCTCCTCTTGTGCTGAGCTAGAAGTTCAGAAGTTCAAGTATCCTTGCACATACATGTGTCTTTGGTGTTGTATCTATCTGTTCATTTTATTTTGGGGGTGTTTTATTTTGTCAGTTTGTATGTTTTAGAATCAAGCCCTTAACAGATATGTGAGTACAAATACACTGTCCTACTTTACATAAATGAACAAATAAATAAATTACCTTATTTCTTTTCCCTAACTGTATCTTTAAAAAAGCAGAAAATTTAAAAATTACATATATTTCAATTTTTTTCTTTTAAAAGAACAGGTCTTCCTTGCAGTATTATACTTAAGAAATCTTTCCTCGTGCAAGCTTTACTATTTCACCTCTTATATATTTTTAAGTTTGTAATTCATGTTAATTTATATACATGATGTGAGATATGGTTCAAAGTTGTTTTCATTTTTTGCATAGATAAGCAAATATTCTGGCACTGTTTGCTGAAAAGACTCCTTTTTCAATTGCTTTTGCACATTTGTCAAGATGGCACTGGCATAAAGACAGATGACATGTCAATGGAATGGATGAAAGAGTCTCTTGTATATGGTCAAATGATTTTTGATAGTGATCTCAAGATCATTCAATGAATGTTTAAATAAACGAATAAAATTATCATGTGATTCACAAATTCTACTTTTGCATACAAAAAAATTGAAACTAAGGTCTCAAAGAGATTAGCTACCCCAAAACATAGCAGCATAATTCAGAACAGCTAAGAGGTGGAAGCAACTCCAGTTAGATGAATAGAGGGCTGTGATTCCACTTATATGGGGTTGCTAGAATAATCAAATTGAAAGAGAAAGTAAAAGAGTGTTTGTCAGGGACGTGGTGGTGGGGATAGGAAGTTATCTTTAATAGGCACAGAGTTTGGTTTTATAAATTGAAAAGAGTTATGAGGATGAAAGCTGGTAACGGTTACATAACAGTATGGATGTATTTAATGCCACTCAACACATAAATGTTTAAGGCTCTAAGGGCAGGTAGCTCAGTGGCAGAACACATGCTTAGCATGCACACAGCCCTGCATTTAATTTCTAGTGTGCGCTCTGTCTCTCCCTCTCTCTCTTTCACTCTCGAGTGCGCACACACAGTTGAGATGGTGGATTTTATGTTGTTTGTATTTTACCACTGTAAAAAGAAAGTAAATGGATCAAAGAAGATATGCTATGCTAATACTAATCAAAAGAAAGTAGTAGTAGTTAACATTTGTTTCAGAAAGAGCAGACTTAAAAGCAAGGAGAGTTACTTAATGATCATATATAGTGTCAAAATGAGTCAATTCTCCAAGAAAACTTAATGCTTAACAGGGATATACATAACAATAGAGTATCAAAATACACCAGGCAAGAACTGGTACAGACAATGAAAAATAGGTGGTTTCTTAGAAAACAAAATCAACTTTTAACACGTGATACAGCTATCACAGTCTTTGGTATTTACCTAAAGGAGCTGAGGCATTTGCTAAGCAACTATGAAGTAAGTTAAAGGTAGATAAAAGAAAGTAATTGAAATGATGGTTCAAGATAGATAAGTAGAGTAAGGAGGGATGTGAAAATGTGTGTGGGGCAGAGGTGGGGGCATGGACAAATGAGGACAAAGTAGTCGTTCAGCAATCCTTATACAATGCCTGGGGATACAAACAATTGAAGACAGCCAAATACTTAATACCACACACATAAGGGCTTAAGTATCCCTCATACAGAACAGCATTTGTTAATAAGGAATGCAGCAACAGAAAGGGAGATATGTTTTGTCATTCATCTTACTATCTCTGGTTCAAGTATATTTTTAGTTTGAATCACCAGAGTGACCTAAAAACCAAGCTCAACAGGCATTCTCTGCTCATTTCCAATTTATTTTTCCCACTTAATTTGCACCACCCAACTATTAATAGTAACAGTGTAGCCTACCCCTTAGGTCTGTTGGGGTTCTACAAACTAACAGGTCTTTTAGACTAAGGCAGAAACAAAATTGGAGGTGAGTAACTCCATTATAGTACCTATAAACACTGCTACACTGGCCCACATCATGGCCCCCAAATGGGCATTTATTTTCCTCCCCTCTCAGGAATATAGCTTTAAATATCCTTTCCACAAAGAATTACCTTCTTTTTTATGTAAACTTTCTGGGCACTTTCAAAACATGTTACCATTTCATTCTTGATAAAGTTATTTATTTTCTATCTTTTGTACAGTTTCTGTCCCTAGTCCAATATTTGGACCATTTAGATATAGCCTGAAATTTAACTGTTTTTTAGTCCTTTTTATTTTCTATCATTGCAATTCCTATTTTTTTGATAAATGATTTTTTATTTCATTTTAAAAGATGTCTTAAATGATGAATAATCCTTTCTTTTGCTATCAAAAAGCCCACTTTCAATGTAAGTTCAATTTATACCAAATTTCTCCAAATATTTTCAGGTCATTAACCAGTCAATGCTGGGTTAACAAGGAGAAACTAATCAAATTAAACTGTTATATCCTGGTACTTCCTCACTTACACTCAAGAAACTACTTACACAGAATGGTAATTCACTGTATTTTGCCCTATACTGTGCTTCTTAAGCCAGTGAAGTCACTGTGCCTGACTGTGCTTCATACTTGGGGGTCACAGCATTCTTGGCCTTGCCAAGCGTGTTCCTCAGTCATTACAATGACCAAATGCTTCCTCGTATTTCCAAATCCCACAGCAAAAAAGGCTGGGTGAGAGGACAGGACTTGGCTTAGACAAATGAGACCATTGGTGACACTAATGAAAACTTTTACCCAACAGGTTTGCTTTTAGAATTACATTTCCAATAATATCTGGCATACTGTACTATAAAACTAAGTCTGAAAATTTCCTCTCCCTACTTTATTCCTGTTTTTATGAGGTCCTTACAATCTATACAGGACTGTTTCCTGTTTTATTCACTCTTAAGTTTTCTTTCCTCACACTTGCAATATTTATCTTCCCAAATCCCTTGTTTTCTTGATGTCACTCACCCCCATGGACAATTGAAGATAAAGTTTAAATCCCCCTGGCCTCTAAGATTCTGGATGTGGCTTCAATTGCCCTAGTCTACTACCACATTCCTTCCTTATACCCTTCACTCTGTCCAACTTATTTTAATGTCAACATTAATGTTCCACTTCTAAATTTCAACATCCATGTTTTATCACTGTACCTTACCAACACTTCTCTGTATGAACAATTTTCTGCTTTTACTAAGTGGTCTCAGAAGCTACTCAAGTATGGAACTGGGGATTTAGCTCAGTGGCAAAGCACCTGCCTGGCAAGTGCAAGGTTGTGAGTTCGATTCCTGGTACGGGGAGAAAAACAAAAAAAAAAACAGCAACAAAAAAGAAGCTACTCAAGTCTTACATTCTCCATGAGGTCTTCCCCACCCGGCTTCCTCCCTACACTCAGGTGAGACTCAGTTTAAAGGAAAGTTAAAAGGAGGCAATGAAATGTGCACTACTTAGAAAAAAACTAGTAAGTCAAAAATTTTTAAAAAGCCAATACTCTGTATGAAAATGAACTCCTTAAAAACAGTTTTACCTGCTTCACTATTTTCAGGCAGCGATTCATATTCAGAGTGGTCCAGAGCCAGGGTGTTCATGTCCGTCTGGTCTGACTCCTCCTGTACATCTGAGAATGCTGCATTCTCTTGACTTTTGTCACCATCGCCATTGGCATCTAATCCTGTAATTGCAATTTTATGCCCAAAAGCCAATGTTAAAATAATTTTCCCTTAAAATAAAACAAAGTTTACACTTGTATTTATTGAAATTCTTTAACTGGATTGTAAAAAATCTCCCGGTTCTAAGTACTGTTACAAACCAGAATATAGATGGGAATCATCGATTTCTTAAATATAGATCAAAATGGTAAAAAACGCAAAGACTTGAAAGCAGGGGCCCTCCTGGTCATGGCCAGGTCCACAACTTACCCTGTGGGCTGCAGTCTGCTCGAGAGCCAGGGGCCTCTTCCCATGTGGCACTCACACCAACAGCTGCATTACTTGCCTCTAAATGTAACATATGAGTCTCCCATACTTTTGCATTAGGGTTAAGCTCTGAAACCTTAGTAGTTGGTACCTAGGGAAGAAATTGATGTATAACTTGCATCCAAATTTCAAGTAAGTGCAATTTTAATTATCAACACAAAGTTAAAAACTTTTTTCTCCCTTGCACTACTGGGGATTGAACCTAAGGGCACCTTATCATTGGGCTACATGCCCAACCCTTTTAATTTGAGAAAGGGTGTAAACTGCCCACGTTGGACTCAAACTTGTGATTCTCCTGCCTTAGTCTTCCAACTCTTGGGATTACAGGTATGTACCACCCCACAGGCTAAAAACACATCTATATTAAAGTAATTTAGGCCAAAAACGTTGAGCTTATTTATGCATACCTCAGGGATGAAACTGGGCTCAAAAAATAACCAAAGGTAGACTGTGATCAAAATTCCACCTAATCCACTGTTAGATTCTTAAATTTCTCCTCAACACAAGGCTCTAAAAGCTGCAAATGACAGACATGGTCCCTGTCCTCATAGAGCTCAGTGTCTCAAGGACTGTGTAACTATAAATAATTGGTTACTTCCCATACTACCTACTATAAATCACAATTTAGATTTATAATTTTGAATACAATGTAGACGGATAAAATTTTCAAGATACAGCTTCACATAGTCTAAAGTGAAGATGAAAGTTCCTCTTAAGAACAAAGGTCTGCACAAAAAAAAACCTAAAGCACGCACCTACTAAGACCATAAAACACCTCCCATTTGCAACATAACTTACTCTCATTCCTAAAAAAGTTTCAATAGTATCTCAGGAGCTTTTTCAGAACACAACTTCCCTGTCCTTCCACAGTGGAATCTGCAGGTGATCCTGATGTTGCTAGTCTAAGGCTTTGGAGTGTGCGCTCATTCGAGGAATGCGAAGAGGGTGAGGCTGGAGACGACGGCTGGGGGCTTGAGTCCAACTCTGCCACAGACAGCTGTACAAGGTGGAGCCAAGTTACTTAACCTCTAAAAACCTCACCTGGAAAGTGAGTTCCACAGTTCTCACTTTATATGGTTGCCAAATGGGGTACCTATAGCACTTAGCATTATACCTGGCATACATCAGGCACACATTAAATCAGTCTAATGAAGGGTGTTCAGTAAGTTAAGACCATGGCAGTCCTCTACTCAAATATGGGAGGCCTCCCTCCAGTGGCTGCCTGGATCATTCAAAGTAAAACAAGTTTTCACTCTGGCCAGAACAGCCTCATGTGGTCATTGCCCCTTTAGCCTCCTTCATTGCCACTCACTCTGACTTCCTTTGCTGTTTCTAAATACACAAGCACTTTGCTTCCTCCTGTTATGTTCGTTCCAGAATGACCTTCCCAGATACTTGTGGCTCATTCTGTCATTTCCCCTAGTCATTTCCTGGTGCACCTTAAAAGCTCGAACAGCTTCCACCTTATGCGGATACTTCCCAGTCCCGTGAGTTTTCTGTTACAAGCTTAGCTTTCTTCTGCTTACAAACCTTGAGCAAGTCTCCAAGACTTAAAGCAAAGTGTCCCAGTGGCAGCTGCTCCCCAAATTCTAACTCACCATAATCTCTCAACAAATCCAAACAAATTGTTTGCCTTTTCAAATGTACCACCAGACTTTACACCATGGTAAGAGAGTTAGAAATAACTAAGGAATGGAAGGAGTCCTAGTCTCAGTTGCTCACCTAGACTGTACCACTGATAGTACCAGTTCCATAATACATGAAAAGGTCAGAAAGACCATCAAGAACTACCAATGAAACATGTATATTAGCAATTTTTAAAAGACAGAATAAATTTGCACTGTGTCGGGTAATAACATTGGCAATGAAAATCATAAAACTATTTCTGAGGCAGAGTATAAGACTTGTGGATAAAATGGCCATACATACGGAGTCATGCTGTGGAAGCAACTTATTTACTGCTCTTCTAGTCACTGAGCAATAATTGAATGTCACACCCACAAAGCCAAATGCTTAAATGAATACTTATGCAGAAGTCTTTTTACTTTAAGTACTAGTGATAGGGAAAAGAACAGGGCTCTTCTCCTTTAGGAATATTATAATCAAGAAACACTGATTCTTCAATTTCCCTGCTTACATTAGTTTAAACTTTCAGTCTATCTTTGGCTTCTGCACAGGGTTAGTTTCTCACTTTTCTCCCATCCACCTACCTAACAAGTTCATCCTACATGCTCACCACTATGTCTGTGCAAACACTGTTTAGCAATCTGTATGTAATAGTGAATAAAATGGACACATCCTCATGGAGTTAAGTGAGAGATAAGGAAGAGAGATAAGTCCCTATTTCATACATATCACTCCTCAACATATCTATCTTCTTTACCTGTTTTGTTTTTTAATTATTTCCCTATCTTCCTCCCTATTCTGTTTGCATAAACCACTTTTTCTGATTAGTTTCTGTTCTGTTCTCAGTAAACACCACACAATCAAGACTTTCCACCGCAGTTTAATTCCACCACTTAACAGACTCTTTATCTTCTGTGTATCTTACACACTTTAAATTCCTAACATTAACACTAATCTTTTCCACTTTAAGCACCTTTTGCAGCTGACTGTTGTATACCACCAATATACGTTTTGCAGTTTATTAATACAGATCACCCATCATCCTGGCTGTGAAATGGCTATAATTAGCACTTTGCAAACTACTATGGCACAACATGCCTGGTCTCCCACAGCTAGTGGGTCTGTTATTCGTACACTCTTGAGTGGTGGCTACCACAGACTTTTTCCTCACTACTGTGTCACTAATAGTGGTGGAGTTAAAGAGTTTAACATGAAGGTGCTCAGGAAATATGGTGAATGAGTCAATATTTAATGAATAGGGCCAGGAACATAGCTCAGTGGAATCGCACCTGCATGGCAAGCATGAGGTCCCAAGTTCGATTACCAGTACTAAAAAATAAAAAACCAGAAACTATAACAATATTTAATGAACACAGAACATTGTATTTTCTACTATATGACAACTTGTGCAAGGTTTTATGCCATAAATGAATGGGACCCTTTATGAAATTATTAGCTTTTATGGGGTAAACAAGTCCAAATCAAGAATCAGGAACTTAGCACCATGTTAGGGAGTTAACTAGTATTAAATAAATATTCTGCAGATGAGATGCAGGAGGGACAAAACATTGAGACTTTTTTGGTTTGTTTTTGACTTCTTTTTCTGAGACAAGATCTCACTTTGTAGTTCAGCCTGGTCTTAAGCTACATAGCCCAGACTGGCCTTGCACTCATAGCAATCCATCTGCCTCAGCCTCTTGAGTGCTGGCATTATAGACATGTGCTACCACACCTGGCCTGAAGCACTGAAACTTTTAATTAAGACTTAATGACATGGCAACTCACATTCAAGAGTTTAATCTACACACTTACCTCTACTGAATCAGAACAACCATAGGAAGTAGTTATTTTTGCCCCCATGTCACAAATAAGAAATCCAAGGCACGGAAAGGTTAAAAGTTCACCCATAAAAATGATCGTAATTAGAAAACTGTGTTCTAGTATCAGCAGAAACTTTCATCAGAATACATTAACTTCTCATGGTTCACATGAGAAATAGTTTTTACTATATGAAGATCTAAACCACCATTTCTTTGAATTGCAGATTTTTGTTCTCAAATGAGAAGAGGATCAAGCGATAGAGGGAGGTAAGAGGGAAAGAAGAGATAAAGTATGTAAAAAACCAATTGGGATGTGTTATATACATGTACCCACAAGAAATGTACACATTATATATTACACACATGTACTAACAAACTAAAAATTTAAAACAGAAAAAAATAGTAACAATTATGGCTCAAGAGACACTAAAACTCCATGAAGGATACTAAAGTTAAGTCGGGAGAAAATTAACTGAGCTCAAAGAGTCTAGATATAATTCCAAGAACAAAATGCAGGCATATTTTCTGGAAAAGACAGTTATTCACTTGTAGTCATAGGTAACTCTGAATGATTACCAGTAACTCTTTACTTTCACCTGCATGGCTATGTCTTAACTTGCACTAAAAATGTACGGGTAAGCAATGGTTATTAAAACCAGAAGCCAGTTGGTCTTAACAGCCACATTCTGAAGTGATTTCACATAAACAGCCAATGTTACTTCTCTTTGAAAGTGAGGCATTACTAAGTTCTGATGCTCTAAAGAAATTCTTCCATCCACATCACCAAACAATATACTCCATTAAAAATAGTATTAATTCATAAACTAGTACTTTATGTTCATGACACAGAATGCTCCATCAAATTACTGAGTATTATCAGAGAGCAGGAACAGGTAGGCAGAAAATATATAATAGGTGAGATAATAAAGGAAAGAAACCCTTCAAGTAAGCCTATACCATTCCTGGAGTTACATTAAAAAGTTTAATAAATCAGAGCAATTCACTGACTTCAGAGCTATGTTAATGTCTAACCTCTAGTTCTTTATTTGTAAAATGGAAAGACAGCTGCTATATAAATAGATTTAGTATAAAAAGGATATTCATAGTAATACTTTGAAAACAGTTGTGAAAAGCAAGGCAACACCATTAAACATGGTAATTCTTCAACTTAGTGCAGTGTTTGGACATACTTCATAATTGAAAAGTTAATTTAAACCTGAAACTATATATCACACCAGATATCTCAAAGTCATAAAAGGCAGAGAAGAATTACTTGCACTTTACCTGGATGTACCAAGCAGTAATCAACTGTAACTGAACACTTACATAAAAGATTCAATACATGTACTTTAAAGAGTTAATTTTATAGTGTTTCCTCTACAACTATTTGAAGGAGAAAAACTGATGAACTTGCAGGCAACTCTTTTTGGTAACCTTCCAAATGTGGGTGTAGAAAGAAAAAACAATTCTTTTTGAGTAAAGAAAAATGTGTAATTCTTTAAATCATGTTATAAGATTTCTACTGTTTGTGCCCATATTATAGATATTAATATGAGGTATATCTATCTCTTTAATATCATCAACAGTTTTTCTTGCCTAATGGAACAAAAATCACAAATAAACTATTAATGGATTTTGCTATTCCAAGTACTGTTTGCCCTCTGTATCCATGGATTCTATATGAATCCAAAGTACTTTTTAAAAAAACTGTACCTATAGTAAGTATGTACAAACTTTTTTCTTATTATCTCCCCAAGTAATATGGTGTAACTACTTCCATAGCATTTATAATGTATTAGGTATTACAAGTAATTTAGAGATGATTTCAAGTATGTGGGAGGATTGTGTTATATGCCAAACACTACGTCATTTTACATAGGAACTTGATCATCCATGAATTTTGGTATCTATGGGGCTCTTGGAAGCAATCCCCCATGGATACTGAGGGAGCAGTATATGTCCTTCCAATAATACTGCTTCCATATGTCTGATGTATGAGCAAGATTAGTTTCCGGCTGTTGAATAATATTTGCCTTTATTAAAGAATTTATTGAAAAGATGCTCAATTTAGATGCCCACAGAATCATCTGCAAAGGTTCTTCAAATCAGTAGAGGCAGCTCATCTCAGGGACCTGAGAAAGAACTCCATGGTGATCCTGACTGGAAAAAACAGAACCACGGTTGTACAGGTAGTTAAAAGTAGAAAATTTTACCTGCATTAGAGACACAATAGAAAAGTAGCAGAAAGTATAGATTTTAAGTTTCGTTTATAGTAACAAGTGTGACTTACACTTTTAAGTTGGCTCAAACACTGGCTAAAATACATTACACTGACCATATGGTAAGACCCCTGCAAAAGGGCTTCAATCACACTGCGGCAACAGCAACATCCACAAAGAACAGTCTGCATAAAGCTGTGTGGAGTAGTCAGAAGGACATGCTTTAGTGCTAATAAGTTCATATATACAAGCTTTGGCTACATTACAACAAATTCTCCAATTTGGAAATCGTTAAGTTGATATTACAGTAATTCAGAGCTTTATGTAAGCACTTAAACCACCACCATTGAGAAAAAAGCATCATTAATTTAAAAGCATACAAAAGGTAACAGTCACCACACCACAGTACAATAATAAGTATCGATAAAAGCATACTTACTAACTGTCCACCTCTACTTTCCAATCCCCAAACCACACCGTCCTCTTTCACTGGTAGCTGATAAGGGGGCTGTTCCAATGAAAATGAAGCACTGTCTAAGTCCAGTGGTTTATTGTGTAGACCCTCACTAAGTATCTGTTCATCTTCTATTGCATCTTTTGTGACTGTATTAGTCCAGAGATAGCCCATTTGATATCCACCACATCCATTTGCCAGTCTTCCAGAAAATATCTGTCTTGTTACTCCTTCCATTGGATAATAAGAAAATTCATTCAAAAAATGGGAGTAGAATTCCTCTGGGAAACTCTGCCAATCTACTTTTGGGGAATTTTCAGACATATTGAAGAGATGTGTGAGTGATAAAACATGGTCACTACTTGGCATTACAATTTCCTTGCTGTTAACTGAGACAGTAGGAATTACCTGATGTGTATTCACTTGGGTGGGATCAACATCAATTCCCATAATATGTATTTCAGCATTTAAATTACATTCTTTAGCTATGGACTTGGTATTTCTTTCTTTGAAATAATATGCAGGTCCATTTGTCCCACATGGATCTAAGCAGTCAATTATGTCAGTATCAATATTGTCTTTCACCAAATAAAGTCCCTCTTTCTCTTCTTTACACGTTACTTTTGACTTAATCAACTCTGATACATTATCATTAAAGGAATCAGAAACTTCTTTAGCTGAGATACAGCAAATTTGTTTCAGTTTTGCGCTTTCATCACTATCAGTAGCATTCTTCTGTACTGCTTCTGGCTTCTGTATAACTGAATTTGAACTCTGACTTAAAGGTGGCACAATATTAAGATCTTTATCTTTGTAGTCATTCACTTTATGGGTTTCAAAATTAGTTCGTATTTGCTTAGCTTTAGAATCACGATATTCTGTTGTAGTAGAACTAATACAAGTCGGTGCATCCTCACTAGGCAATGCCTCACATTTTAGTTCATCTGTTTCCTGGTCAAAGGTTGTTTTAGAATCTGACTTGACATTTTCTGTATGTTCTTTACTGGTCTCTCCATAATTAGTATTTTTTGACTCTTGTTCAGCATATTCTAATCTGTGAAGACCACTCAGCTGGTCATGTAATATACTGACTGAACTCTTCACACATATTTCATCTTCTGTTTTATCATGCAGGCCTGTTTCCCTTTCTTCTTTATCAGAACAACTGAAAATAAATGCAGAGGACAAAAAGGTATCCTGAAGAGATCTGGAGGGATCATGAGATTCATTATTTGGAAGCATTCTTTGTGAAATTACAGCTTTTGGGATGTCTATGCTTTGGATTGTTCCTTCTGTGTCTGATTCACACTCCACGCAAGTTAAATCACATGTCTGTATCTGAGTCTTGTCTACCCTTCTACCTGCATATAGATCTGATAGACACAAAGATTTCATCTCAGAAGCCCTCTTGCCATGACCGTCAGCCTCCAAATCACTAATTCTATCCTCATCTTCGTAAGAAAAGCTATTTTCAGACTGCAATGACAGCTTTCCTGTATTTTCCACCTGGAGATTTCTGGGGTCTAGGTTGGTCTTCCGTTGGTGCTGGTTCTTCCTCAGCGTGAGTCCTGGCAATGGCATGAGATCAAGGCTGCCATCAAGTCTTCCTGGGGCCCCTTCTCTGAAATTAGCATGAACTGAGAGATATTCACTTCCAAAGCTTTCTGAAGTGATAAACCTTTTGGGACTTAAATTAATTCTATCTCGACCAAAGGAAAGGATACTATCTGAGCTGCTAATACTGGCATGAAAATAATCACTGTCTTTTAGTGGATTTACAGAGTTATTTTCTGCTTCCTTTTTAGAGTTTAAATTCTGATTGACACTAACTGTTATAGCCTCAGGTTCATCATTCTCTTCAACATATGAAGTGTCATTAAGTAAATTAACAGATGAATCATCCATCTGACCTCCTATTTCTGAAGTTAGGCTCTCTCTCTCTTTGGGAATGGTGCACATGCATTTTAGTGAGTCACTATCTATGTTAATATTTAATTCAGGGAGTAAGCCAATATTACATAATGTACTACTTTCTGTGTAATCTTTAGGAAATATGGTATAAGGTTCTGCCTTCAAAGACTCAGGCTGCAGGTTATCAGTATTTGCTTCATATGATGGATCATTGTCTACCAAAAGCTCAAAACTAGGCTTAGTTTCCTTATTAAATATATTCTTTACTTCATTTGGACCCTGCACACCCAGGGGTGACACATCTTCCTGCTCTAACTTTAACTCTCCTATCCATTGTGTAGCATACAAGACTGAACATTCTTTCCTGCTATCTAGATGCCAATTCACTCTGTGAATCCCTTCAGAGGCAACAGCTGAATGACATTCGTCTCCTGCAGCTGTTCTATACATGGGAGTGCATATCTCCTCTTCCATGTTCAGACAGTCAGGATCTATAACACAAATACTATAAAACTCACTCTCTCTGCAATTCTTACACTGTTTGTCACCAATACAAATAGGATTTCCATCTTGCATCCTCCTATCCAAAATATCTAAAAAATTATTGTCATTGAAACTACAGATTTGAACATTTAGTATTCTTTCTTTCTCTACTAAAGATTTTTTACAAGTGGCAGGGGAACAGCACAGACAGTCACTTACAAAAGTTTCCTCTTGCAGGCCCTGGTCAGAAGGCAGCTGCACATGTGAGTGAAGCTGGTCATTTATGGAACAACCATATCTGTCATTACTCATGCACAATGAGTCAGAGACACTCTCAGTATTCTGTTCAATAACAGTATCTGAGCTCTCACCACTCTCATCTAAATTTTCATATCTAGTTAAGAACTTATATATCGAAGAGGAAATAGAGTTTACTGACTGCTTTGTTCTATGTTCGTGTCTGTGGCCAGACCCTGTAAAAATTCTAGTCCACTTATTAATATCAGCAGCTGCTCTGCTGACTCCATTTTCAACATTGTAAAGCTCCTCACCTTCAAGGGTATCAAATAATGAAGATAAAGTTTTACTTATCTTATTCTTCGGTTCCTTCTTCTCCACAGATTTTTGTAACAGATCAATTTTCTCATTGTCATCATCGCTACTTAATTCCTTGCTGAAGCAACAACCCATGTTTGAAAGTTCAAAAACTCACATTACGAAGCTTGTCCTTTTCTGAGCCTCTACAAGTGCATCTCACACTATCTTGCTATGGTTTCTGAGAAGTCAACACCCACACACCAAAAATAACTCTGCACAGCAGTCACATGTTCCTGCCACTCAAATCCAAATCCAAATGACAAGAGCCCTGCCTGACAACCACTATACTCATCCATGTGCTGAAATCCAAACAGTACATGGAATCCAAAGCTTCAGAATAGCAAAAGGAAAAGCTACCTATTATTCACTCAAACTAAATTTAAAAAAGCAACTAAAGTTACTGTCCCAGCCAAAGATATTCACACTTCTGGTTTTTCCTAGTGATGAGTATTTCCTGAATTATACTTCATAGGACAGTGGCAAAGAATTTAGTTTGTAACCTAAAAAGGAAAACACTATTAGAAATCTGTTCTTTAATATTTATACCTACTTATGGTTTTATCTATTTTCTAGTTTTGAAAAATAATGCCTGTGGGTATAAAAGAATTGCTGCTAAATATATCAGGCATGGAAATGTGTCAGAAATACATTTTTAAGTATTTATGGTAAAATGATAAACAGACTAGGATTTGTTTAAAAATACTCCAGGAAATAAGATAAATATGCACATACATGAATTCTAAACAATTTTGTGCAGAGTAGAGAAATGAAATGAGCACCCTAACATGAGGATGTTCACAAAGGGAACACTGGAGAGTTCATTACATTATTTTCTCTACTCTGCAGATATGTACAAATTATAATTAAGAGAAAAGAAAAGAGCAAAAGAATAAAAGAAACATACAAAATACTGTACACTCACTAGTATTCAGAAGTCTCTCAAAAGTACTAGGCACTGGTTCAAAGTCTGATCTAAGAGATAGGAAATAAATAACATACTAAAAGCAGGAAGATGTTATTTGTGTATACAGAACAGATGTTTACTATCTTCATGAAAATTCAAGCTGATTGGTAGCCTACTCTTATTCAAAACGTAGACGTACAGTAACTAATTTGATATTAGTAGTTAATAATAAATACATATTCATTGAGAAACATAATCAAATGGTAGTTTTTTTGTTTTGTTTTGTTTTGTTTTGTTTTTTTCAAAATTTAATGAATGAACAGAAGGACTAAAGTTTTCTGATCTCACTGTCTGTAAAGGAGTTTTAAAAGATTGTTCTGATAGAGACCATGACGTATCTACAGAAAGACTGGCATAGAGAATAGTTAGGTTTCCAATTTAAGCTTTCAAGTTTCACATTATGACTAGGAAATATGTGGTATGATGCAGAATCTTTCTTCCCAAGAAGTAATTTAACATAAACATTTTTACCTAATACTACTTTTCCATTAAACACCATCACACATAGTTCTTTCTCAAACTTTCTTTTCACTATGGCAAAATGTACCAGGACTGTTGGAAAAGAAAGTGACTTTTCAAGCCAAAACAGTTCAAGAATCAGAAAACCTGGGTGCAAAAATGTACTAGTTGAACAGCATGATTTTAAACTTTGGTGTCCCTAAATGGGCTTTAGCAGGGGCACAAAACCTTTGCCTGTGATCTTTGTTGCAGATGGATTTTGTGGCCATAACAGGGAAGGTAAAAGAACCTTCGACCAAATAATACTGTTTCCAAATCCCAGTTGTCAGATCTTACGTCTTTCACAAGGACATTGCATCACCATGGTCAACTCCCAGGGTGGTTCTTTTATCTCAATGCCTTCTTTTTTTTTTTTTTTTTTTTTTTTTTTGGTGTTTCTTTTTTTTTTTTTTTTTTTTTTTTTTTTTTCTCAATGCCTTCTTGATCCTTTCTCCTATCCTCCCTATCCTTCTCCTTACTGTTAAAGCCAGGATCTTTGGTACAATGTTATTACCTACAGTATCTACTATTCCTGAATTTCTACTTATTATAATCTGGCTTTCACTGTGTAACCTCTTGCAACTATTCTTGCTAAAGTCACAAATGAAATCTGTCAAATCAGTTGGTCCTTATTTCACTTCATTTCAGGTGGCCACTCTCTTTACCCATTAAAGCAACACTATTTTCTGGCTTTCTTCCCATTTCCTGACTTCTCCCCTTTCTAGTTCCCTTCTAGTTTCTTAAATACATAGTTTCATCATTTTTCCTGTCTGTAAATGCAAGGAAACGTAATGCAAATTTACTACTTTAACCTTATTAGTACAAAATGCTTCAAAACCAGTAGCCCCTTACATCAAGGTTAGACACATTTGAAAAAAACCACTTACTTGGGACAAAATAGAAGAGCATTTTTTTCCTATAGACACAAATGCAGATATTCATTCAATGACCTACCTATTTAACAACTGTTCAGACTTAGGACTTAGGCACATTGTTCAGATTTAAGATCTGTCTTTATTTTTGGACAGCTCTGAACATCTCATTTATAGAATGTCAATGTCTTTTTTGGGTACAGTACACCACCGTAGTTTTATGTTCTGTTACACATTATAGTACTACATGGAAGGGTTATTCAAATAAAACCAAAATTATCAAACTGGAGTTTCTTTTGACCATTTCTTAGTTCTCAATAGCGTACTGTAATAATTCCTCATTTAGTGACCAATTCAATTAATGACCTAGTTGTAGGAAAGGGACCAGGTTGTTAAATAAGGAATGTCTGTATTTCTCAATGCCAACTACTATACTGTTTTTGAGATGGGGTCTAACTGTGTAATTCAGGTTAGCCTTGAGTTCACTATGTAGCTGAGACTGGCCTCAAACTTGTAGCAATTCTCCTGCCTCAGTCTCCCAAGTGCTGGGATTACAGGCATATGCTACCACACCCAATGCCACTACTTCTGTCTATATTCATTCTGCATCTAAAGTTCACACAAAATTCAGCAATACAACTTTGCATGCTGTAGTAGGATCACAATAGATACATATATATTCTATGCTAATCTATACATGACTACTGTACAGAACATGTCTTACCCATCTTTATCATTTGCACTCATCTTTGTTGAATGAATGCTCAAATTTCATTCACAAAGTACCATCTGCCTACCTACTTGACACAATGTAATGTGACACAATGTAAATGAACAAGACACACAAAGGGCAAGTCCAGACACAAAAAGTACATCTGTGATTGCCCAGGGAAGCAAAAGAGATTAACTATAAATGGGCGTGGGAGGTAATGAAAGCATTCTAAAATTATAGGGACAGCTATACAACTGAGGAAGTCTAAATATCATCAAATTGTACACTTTAATCCAATGTAAATAGTAAAATGATGATATACTTTGAGATGGTATCTTTTTCCCCCTTGACACTGGGGATCAACCCCAGCTCTTGTACATACTAGGTACATGTTCTAACACTGAGCTACACCCCAAGCCCATATCTCACTTTAAAAAAAAAGTCTACTTTATTAATTTCTGTATGAATTGCTTATTTGGGGGAATAGAAAGTTTACTAAACTTTGTGAGGCCCTTAAAAGACAATCAAACTGAATTTGGAACATTCCAGAAGCATATCTATTTGCAAATGATAAAACTAAGGTTCAAAAAAAACAACGGCGTGACATTCCCTTGTTCTTTTATTAGCATTTGACTTGTGTGCTCTAAAAGTCACAGGCCTTCAAAATGTAAAACTAATCATATACATAAAGTAGCTTAATATTAAATCACTGTGGTAAATATTTGAAAATTAAAAAATACATACAGCATACTGCTATTTGTGAACTGTACACAGACACAGAAAAGGATACACAGAACTAATATTTACTGTTCTGAGGGGGCAACAATGATGATGGACCCTACCACATTTTTTGAGAAACACAGTTTCTATTTTTTTAAAAAACAATAAACACTGGTTGTAAGGAGCTATCTATGAGCCTACATGGTGATTAAATAATCTGTGATTAATCACAGAAATGAATTACCTGACTCAAAGCTGGGATGGAACTTGTTTGAGAAGTGGTTTGAGATATAGGACCATTCATCTGTAAAATTGAAATTTCAAAGACATCATCAATACCATGGGGAAAAAAATGCATTTTTAAACCCCAGTAATGAAGCAAAACCAAATCTACTAAATGCAATTTTGCTATGACATGACAAAGAAATAAGATATTCAAAAGGAAACACATAGGTTCCTTAAAATTTACAGTTTTAAAATTCTGACTGATGTTAGTTTCCATGGAGAAAAATTAAGAAAAGCTACTTTCCCCAAAACCATTTAGAAGCACTAAATATTATTGCTTGACAAGAAAAAACATAGGTTGTCACAATAAATTTAGAAAAAATTTAAAATTCTATTTAACTCTCAATCTACTACAATGGCTGTAATCTTTTTATTATTTATATCTCTATTTTCTTGATTTAAAATACAAAGCTTTAAATAGTTATAACTGCCTTTTGTTTTCTCTAACACCTAGTATATAGAAATAGTTTCCTCTACTAAGCTATCCAAATCTTATTTTAGACTGATGAAGTTTCAGACACAGAACACCACTGTACTGCAGCATGGGAGGGAACAGCAAAGTCAGACACTGAAACTAGAATTCCTCTTACCTGTCTCCCTGGCCATAAAACCCAGACCTTCCCCTCAAAATCCATCAGAAGATCTTCATTCTAAGGGGTTTTACAGTATCCCCAAAGGAAAGGAATGTCACACAGGGACACCAAAACAAAATAATCTGAACATAGTCTTGCTAGGTTCTCCCCTCTTTATTACCATTAGCTCATGTCCTATTTGTCCAATCATGCTTTTCCATAACTTTCACCTTCTGTATCAGACTTAGCATAAATATAGGCTTTTTTTGGAGGGGGGGGAGTTGTCTTCATTTCTGAAGGTTCTTATGTCACATAAAACTTACTGCTAAATAAATACTTTTCTCTTGTTTATCTGTCTTATATATATTACAGGAATCTCAATTATGATCCTTAGATCGGTAAAAAATCCTTTTTATTCTACAAGAGTATGCTTGAGTGTTACTGTTCTGATGTCCTTCTTAAGTCCAACATATACTTTCTTAAGTCCAGTGTAGGTTTGTCAACAGAAAGAAATGAATGCCCTTGGTCCTCCCTTCCAATGATACCTACCAGATGAGAGCTGTCCTTGCCCTCCTGGACTCTCTGTGCCTGCGGTTCAGCCACAACTTTAGTGTCCTGGTCAGAAGTCATGGGCTCCACTGGTGTAAGTTTAATGATAACCTCAGGATGCTGTAAAGTGACAAAGACAGCAAATAGGTCATATTATGACTGATTCTTAGAATGACATTATAAAGAAGTCTTAAACTCTTTAAGTTTTCCAGGACACAGAATCTATTTAATTTCTAAGAATTAGACAGTAATTTCTGAGAGTCCTCTGGATTTTAAGTAATTCCAAGAAATCTGCTCATAATGTACATCTTACCAAGAAGTAATATTTGCTTTTATTAGTGAGTTTCTTTTCATACCAATTTGGCAATGATGAAAATATTGGCAGACCATGTGCTAACAAAACTTTTTTACCCCTTATGAAAGAAAATTTAAAATATGTAACAGTATTTGCACATAAAATCCTAAAACTTCACCAAGAACTCTTAAAATGCACTCATTACGCTTGTTCTCTGAGGTAAATGTTGTCATGGCTTTTTAAAAAACTACTACACTTTACATACTATGTAAACTAATACTACATAGGACACACTATGTAGGACAAAGTAAATAGGAATTAAATTAATACTAGGTACACAGATGCTCCACATAA